AAAGCTCAATATCGCGTGTGAGAAAAGCGTCTATAAAGAAAACTAACATAAGTGTACACCTCACTTTCCAGAGACAGAATACGACTTTCTCGTCTCGCGCCTTGTTTTGTAACATTAACATTAAACATAATCGTTGATATTTCTAAAATATTTCGGCGCTGAGAGATATGCGCCATGGTCGGCATTTGGCAACAGGCCAGTACCATTGCTCTCCTTACCCTTGTGACAAAACTTTCCTAGGATGAAACATAACGCAATCAATCTATGAGTTCTGGAAACAATAAATAATGTATTTTTATATTTTTTGTAAACCGTAATGAATAATTGCATCTAAACTATCCCTAATATTATCCACCTAAGTAAATACCTGATTGTAACTAAAAGCCGTCACATAAAAATTTCCTACGCATGTCTGATTTCGTTTTCAATTAATTATCTTAGAAAAATAAACATCATCCAGGTAAGTAAATTGCTTACCGTTTATGCTTAATTAACTCGAACTCGAGCCTCGAGACTTGTAAGCGGTATTGAGAAGCAGGTATGAGTGGCCGAGATGGATTCGATGCGAGCAACAATTTGCGAAATCGAAGATATGAATTAAAATTGAACAAGTGTAGAGAGTCATGTGTGTAGCGAGTATTTTGGCCGCGTGTCGCGTACCTTAGCGTGAGTTCGCGGCCACAACGTTGCAGCGGTGCACCGTAAGATCGCAGGGCGACACGAGCCGCCCGCTTGCCTCCGAGCGACTGCCGCCCGGGCCGCGACGCGCCCGCCCGCCCGCGCCACGCGCTCCAGCACGCACCGCCTGCACCGGCGCCACGCACCGCCTGCACCACCACCGCACACCACGCGCTGCCTGCCCTCGGCGGCGAGCTCGCTGCGGGTTCACGCACCACGCTAAATCGATGTGTTCTGTCAGAAGCTGTTGTGCGAGAGGGCGCCCGCGGGGGAGTGTGCACGCACCACGCGGCGCGGGGGGCCGGTCCTGCGCGCTGCGTCACGCATCTGTCTGGAAGCTTTCTTGCGTGCTCCCGCAGCCCGCCATCTGCAGAGACGTTCTCTGCGAGCGTGGCGCCGCGCGCCGTCGTCGCCGCCCGCGTCGCGTCGCTCCCCGTGTCACATTACGACGATGACGGTGCTAATGCCCTTTGCGACATTTTTTAGCTTTCCACATTTAAATGAGTGACGTGTCTCAGTTAATTAAGTATTTTAATAATGACTCGAAGTCTGAAGTAAAATATTATATCTATCTACTCATTTATATTCCTTAAAGTTTGTAGTTCTTGGCATTTGTAATAAAATCGCCAGACGTTAAACTTTTATTAAAAATGTTATAATTTTTTTACATAATGTCATTTTGTCTGTGAAAATCTCTTCTTTCACATGTGAAAGTAATTCTGTACACTTCTTCCAATTTTACTATAGAATTATATTACCTATGTGTTAAAACGAAAACAAATACTATTAATTGCATGTATTATTCAAATAAATTTATTTCACAAATAGCAGATAAGCCTATTAAATACTTTATAATACCTTCCTAAAGGAAACAATTTTAATAAAACAACTGTAATAAAATTTGCATTAATAAAATCTAATTACATTCTAATGACGGGTTCCGATAAGTTTATACTACTATAAAATAACTATTAGATGTTATGATTTGTTATTTGAATTTATTCGTTTATATTCTTATTACTTACAATTTTAAACATGCACTTTAGTCACGTGCCTTATACTTGAATTTACAGAATACGGAGACAGAAATTCTTAGTCATCAAGAATGACAACGTATAAGGGGAGAGTTACTACGAGCATCACATGATGATGTCAGGTCTCGTGTTGTTCATGTATATAGGCAACGATGTCACTTACCTTAGGTAGATCGTCAGCTTCTTTGATATTCCAGTCTACTATTGGAAAGTAATGTTACAAATTACCCAGTATATAATTGGTAATACCACAATATTTCAAGTACAATTATTAAGATATGTCATACCGTTATAATTTTCCTGTATATTCTAAAACAGAGGAGGCAGGACCTCACTAATCTTGAGATTTCGTAAGAAATATATAACTTTGAGATAAAGATGACCTCGGTTTAGCGTAGTAGTTTGCACATTGCCTGGCTTTCTGATGTTGCAAGTTCAATCCCGCACAATTATGTCCAAAATTGTATAGTGTACACAGTCTGCCTGATAAAAATCACCAAGCAATCACCAAGTTCAAATTATTTTACTTTTATTTGTGGTTATTTTTTTATTGTGAAAAAATCGTTGATATATTATTGTTATCAAGTTATATCGAAGATAGATAGGTGAGAGATGTCGTCTATAAATATACATGCATATGAAACCACGAGAAATACCTAGTTCCACATAAAATTTAACACATACCTAAGGCTTATAAACCTTCAGAAGCAGGATATTACATACTATTAATATTTTCATTTTCCCACTGTATTCCCTTAACTGCGTGTCGTTCACATTTATTGTAATATCAAAAATACTACGCCGTATGCTATTACGAGGTCTACAACTCCATGTATATCGGGTACTTAAACGTCTTATTGAAACTAATGGCGCTGCAGCATCCTCTGATCTGGTGAAAAATTGCTGCGGGTGGTTCTCCTCCCCCCTCCCCCCTCCTCAACAAAACACCCTCCTATCGGCGACTTCGGGCGATTTCCAGATACTGCCCCGTCCGTCTTTGCCTTAATTGAGTTTCACAGACACTTTTTGTAGTTTCGCCATCGGATTAAACGATGAAAGTTTAGAATACTATTGGACTGTTATATAATAATTAAGTATAACTAAGGTTAAAAAACTAATCAAGGCAATTTGTACCTACCCGTTAATAACAAAATATAACATGTGCATAATTAGGGGAAGCTTAGGTTATTAGTACCTTTTAAGATAATGATAAGATATGATCATTACATAGTATAAAATAAAGTCGCTGATTTTTTTAATAGATAGAGTAGAGGGATTGTAGAGTAAGGTTTATATATATATATAATATAGTACATGTACCTACATCGGTGCGGAGCATGGGCGAGTAGCTAGTTTAAGATAAAGTACATAAATTAGTCATGTCGACTTGATATTCCTAACAGACAAATTGCATCCCTGAATTTCGAACTATATCATAACTAGCTGTGCCTGCGGTTTTACCCGCGTTAAATTTCAATAAATAATATAGCCTATGTGTAATTCTGATGCATAAGCTATATCACTGTAAAGTTTTATAAAAACCGTTCAGTAGTTTTGGCGTGAAAAAGTAATAAATAACCATACTTACAAACTTTCAAATTTATAATATATTAATAATATGATTAAGACTTAGGCAGAGAAATAAATTCCACTACATACCTATATCTCTAAAATTTCTCATTATTAAAAGCTCAATATACTCTACAACTGTATATTATGTAATTTGTATTATTTAAAAAAAAATACAAAATCGCATAGTTGTATCATATCTTATCTGTGGTTGTATAAAATATTACAAAGAAATTGCCAGCACGAACTTTTCAAAATCGTATACCTACGCGTAAAATGTGTACAATAACATTCGTATTTTACTAATCTTTGGCATTTTTATGGGAAACAAATACCCAGGGACGATTAACGTCATAAATATCGAAAATTATGAGACAGCAAAACAGTGTAATGATAGAGGAAAAGGGGCCGTTGTTCGACCGATTCTAATCTCCGGCATGTATTCTGAAGAAGTAAACCGCATAATGAAAACATTAATTCGAATTATTTTTCTTATTTATAAGCTCTAAATATGTCTATTTTTATTTTAGAAGCAATGTGTAAAGCCTTTTGTTTTACTCATTCATTACTAAGTACCGTGATTTTATTTAATGTATTATATAAAGGTAAAGACTGGAAAAAGTATCTAGATTGCTAATATTTATATTACCTGTGACTTCTGATTTTTTAGACAAATGTGTCCGTTTGATTTTTAGTCCGTCCTAGTGATGTAATCGACATACTTCTTTCAAAACAAATTTAATTAAAATACGTTCAGCAGTTCAGTCATTAAAAGATTACAAATAGACCGACTGACAGGTTTTCGCATTTATTATACCTACCTATTAGGTAGTGTGGACTAACAGCAATGTATGGACATTTGGCTTACTAATTTCCAGTTTTTATTTTCATAATTCTAATTAAGTCTCACAGTAAATACGTAAATTCTTAAATTTGTATAATTTAAGAATTTACGGCAACATATAATATGCTAAATAGTTTCACTAAAATATACATATTACTCATATTTATATCCTTATAAACCTAACTAGTCGTCTTAGTGAACTCCTTTCTAAATATTTCTAGAATGAATCCGTAATATGTGCTGTTCCTTTGCAGTATTTGTCGTCCTCAGTTTAGCACACCGCCTTACTTTCGATGGTCGCGAGTTCGCTTCCTCGTGCGGTCCAAACATCTGTATTCATGAGTATGATTATTTATATCAATCTGGATATTGTCTATGTGTCTATCAGTTGTCTATTGCCTAGAACACAAACTCTGCTTAGCTTGGAACTAAATGGCGCCGTTTGAATTGTAGGTATGTACATATTAAATTGTTACAGAATTTCTATATTTTAGTATTAGTTTACGGAACCCTAAAATATTACGAGTAAATTCATTCTTCTAAAAGGGGCTTTCTTGGCAACATACCAAACACAAATAAACATTTATATAGACTGGATTTATTGTATTTGTTGCCATACGGATTAGAAACCCGCAGTTATTTTATCATATGAGTGTTCTTAGCAGAATATAACCTTCAGAGAGATTATGATGACATTAGATAAATTCGAATAATAATAGAATACTACAATAGCACACTAGAATTTTATTCGCAATTTTGTAGCTATTTTATATTTACTATTAGGCTTTCTTTGTCCAAATGTACTAAATATATATTATTGCCAACAAATTTACAAATATTTATTATAATAATAAGTCATATTAATATGGCTTTTACATAATCTTGGAACTGTACTTACAGCAATAAAATTTAGAAACTTTTCTAGGAACTTGCATTCAATAGGATCAAATCTAACAATAAAATATAAGTTCTTGGTTGATTAACCAGGACATAGGTATATAGGGGTAAATTAAAACTTGTCTCTTTTGGATCATACTACAAATGAAATAATTTTCACAATTATGGATGTATATTACAGTTAAACAAAATATATACAACGACTAACACAAGGTCTGCCGTAAAAATATTTATATTAGGTACATAAACATTTATGCTAATTTTCTGCTTCACAGTTTTTGAGATTCTTGGGTACTGATAATTTTGCCAACGGTAAAGGTGGTCCTTTGAATTGTACAGTTAATTGAACAATTCTCTCAGCCTCCCGTATTCCACTTAATCGTGCTCCAGATACGGTTGCAAGGTGACCAGGAATTGTTGCCTCTCCCGCAAATAAAAGAATGGGTGGAATAGGATCACTAGGCCCGGGGAGTGGACAGGCTAAAGCCCTCTGCGCTGTCCCATCAGCGCAGTAACTATCATAAGAGTAAGCGCCACGAAAGAAAGGATCGGAAGTCCAATGTGACCTTAATATCGTGACAGGATAGGGTATGTATGGATTTCCAGTAGAAAATCGTAATACATCTGTTATGCCTTCAGCTACATCTTTATCGCAAAGGCCCTCCATCATCATTGCTTCTTGGCCAACTACCCACGTACACATTACATGTTTACTATTTGGAACTTCTTCAATTGCTTTAATACCCCTTGTCCAATCGCATCGACCGAATAATTCGTGACAATATTTGAAGCTCAAATTTCCCTTATGCCAAAACCAAAAAGGACGACAGTATTCGAGGTAAATTTTATTACAAAATCCGAATCCTAAACAACGCATAGCATCTATTTTAGAGGCAGGTAGCGCTGGACAAAACATTTTGACAGAATTTGCAACTAATACACCTAGTGAAACCGTAATAATTACGTAGTCGGCGGGAAACTCTTCACCATCAGTAGTGCAAACCGTAGCTCGGTAGCCAGATTTTTGTGATGTTCCCCAGTAAATACAATTTACTGGTTTACAATAACGTATAGCACCTTCGGGTATCTGACGCAACAGAGGAGCAAGTATACCAACTAAACCTAAAGGTACTCTAACCTCTCCCCCTGGCATATTCATGAAGCATCCAAAATGGTCGGCACATAACATCGATGTATCATCTCCATATCGCGCACTGATCATATGTGTAAGCCCGAACATTATCCTCGCTGCGTCATGCTGCTGCTCTTCAGGATATTCGTGCAACTCTTGTTGGATTCTCATACTCATAAAATGTATTAAAGATCCTTGTTGCTTGTTCCCACCTAGACAGTATATTTGGGCTGCTTCTTCCTCTATTTGACGAAATTTATGATAGGCTGTAATTGTTGGAGGAAATGGCATTTTTCCCGTAACTATTCTATTAAAAAGCCCTCTAGTATGCTCCGAGCCCGGAATGCCTGGTTGTGGTGGGCTTTCTGTAGCAGACATCATATATACTGGATGGGTAAAACAATTATCTGGCTTCCAATGGGAACCAAGTTCAGCAACAATATCACCAAGCCAACACGAATGAATTCTACCTCCTGGTCTGGAAATAATATAAGGTATCTTAAAATTTCAACTTATATGCTAAAGGATAGAACTATATTTGGAATATCATACGACACGCTACGTAATGAAGGTTCAAACCTTTCATATGCTTCCAAAACTACAATATTATTTATCCCACGCTGAGATAATCTCGCCGCTGCAGACAGCCCTGCCATGCCTGCACCTATAATAACGACGCGTGGTTCCGGGAAGCATTTGTCCGCTTCACAGGGATCCACGGCACATGCTCCTTTATCTTCCAGGTCAGGTGCACAGTCATAAACTACAGGTGCTTTCTCTGTTTTCCTTTAAGTAATCATTTGTAGCTATACTAATATTATTAAGCAAAAACTTTGTTTGGTGAAATCCACAGGAACTATTAGTACGAATTAAAATATTATTTTAGTTATTTTAGTGTGGGATTTAGGTTTAGATCTAAAAATGCTATTTATAGGCGTGAGGTAACACTGAAAGTAATGCAGCCGAAGATTGCTGGGTTAAGCTAATCATATTTCTTTAAATTGAATTAAATAACATATAGGGTTTTCTATAACACTTTCATATTATTTTTTCTACATTTAATGAACTTTATTGGCCGTTTTCTAAATGTAGTACAATTAGTGCTTACATTGGTGTGTGTGTATATATCATTGGGTATTTCGTTATATATTGCATGTACTGTCCATTTTGCTACATACCATCTTTTGAAAATTTTCTGTCGTATCGTAAGAAGAGCAGAAAAACAATATTTACTATGAATTTTCATCATTAAATTTAACACTTTAATTTCTCAAACCGATAGAAATAGGCAAATGTGATATTGAAATCTGAAATGACGGGATTTGTGACAGCTTCATGTTAAGAAATATATTCAATGATATGGTTTGAAGGATAAAGAATAGTAGTAGGTAATCGTAAATAGTTTCAAATGATTTCATTTTATTGCAAAAATATAAAATCTGTTATTTATAATTAGTAATTACTCCAAAAGAGAATAGTAAATGAAAGAACTTAAATCAATTATAAATATTCTTTATTTTCTTAGATAATTTTTTATGTTTTTTATTTATAGCTAATATAAGTAAATGAAAGAACTTAAATCAATTATAAATATTCTTTATTTTTCTTAAATTTTTATTTTTATTAGCTAATATAAGTATTAGAGATTCTGTATTATGGATGTTATTATTCTGTAATTCGGAATGTACGGTAGTAGTACGGAATTTAGTATAAATTAACAAATAACTTTTGCTTACTAATAATTACAACAAAAAAAATGGCTGTTTGTAGGTAATTTAATATGGGAAATTAAGACACAAGAGGTAGGTTACCTAATCAACAGAGTTCATATTGTACTATAGAAAAATATATTTAGCTGAAAGTAAGTTATTGTAGGTTTAGATATACAAAATGCAACTTATTGGAACATATTTACACATAATTCAGTCATACATACATAAAGCACTCGCAAATGTTATTTTCATTTAATAACTAAAATTCTTTCTATTATAAGTGAAAACAATCAGTCCAAAAACGATCTAAAGTGTGGTAGAAATGTCTGCTCACGCCCATCAATGAATGGTTCTCATCAGTGTAGCTCTGCAAATAAAATATTTACATTGTATTAAAATATACCTAGGTAGAGTTATACAAAGTCGTCTATATTGGCACCTATACCCATTTATACTTATTTTACACTTATTTTAACCGCCATGTAGATCGTTTTATAATCTCTGAGACGATGGTGTAATTTCACTGCTATATGCCCTATAGCAGTGGAGTTACAGTAAGAGAGCCCGTTAGGAGGGTCTGTTAAGTACCAGTTAGTGACGACTGAGCGTTACCGCGTGTATCGCGATAACGTCATGAAGACATGATGTTCGTAGTACTATACATATAAAGGTACAGGCGACGTCGGGGTATTCAGCGAAGGTATGTCTATTGTTGCGTATATCACAACATCTATAGTTGACGATGCCCCTGACTACTATCTGACGTAACAGTGGTGATGTTATAAGTTATGGATACATATATAAATTAAAATTTATACGTTTAATTTGTAATATCATTTGCATTCTCAATATAGGTACCGACTTCAAGGTAAAATTACCAAATATCGCAGCAAAATGTTTTTGATGGTCGTCTACTGTGAGAAGATGAATCCACAAGTGTTACATGTAATACATGATCTATTTCTTAAGAAGAAAGAAATATTTTTGGCATTTCGTTTAGGTCTGCCTATACTTTTTATGTCTATAAATGACTATCTATAGGTATAGATACTAAATATATCTTGTAAAGGCAGATTTAAAATAATTACGTGTATATACGTAGCTGTACTACTTTATGTATATGTAACCAAAATTGTGAGTTGTAAAATTTTTATATCTTAAATTGTACACTGTTTGAAGTTATAGGTAAGCAAGGATTTCTGCGGTGCCAGCATGAAGGATAAACTTCGTAATGGCAGGCTTGGCACGGGCTAACAACACTTAAAAACAACTGAATGAAAAAAGTCTGAATGTTCACAACATAAAAATTATGATAGCAATTCAAATACTTAAGACGGATATAAAAACACAGTACATAATATATAATAATATCGTATATAATACCGTAAAACCAGCAGATATAAATGTTTGTATACAGTGAATATGCTTCTGAAACGACTGAAAATACGAATAACTAATACGTACTGATGCAACAAGGCACGTGGATCGAGAGATACCATTTGCACGTATTGTAATTCTAAATAAAAATGATAATTTTGAATTTTGTATGTTTCTAACTAATAAACTTAAACTATCCCTATTTCAAAAATTCTTTACCATTAGAATACTACATCATCCCTGAGAAAAATAGGCTATATTTATTACCAGAAAAAGCATTTGACAGAGTCCCGAGAAGATTGGTATGGAGAGCATTGAGAGCACAACATCTGCTTGAAATTTACATACAGTTGATTCAAGATATGTACAACAACGTCCATACTAAAGTCAAAAGTCCTGCGGGAATGAGCGATGAATTTGAGGTGAGGGTTGGAGTTCACCAGGGCTCAGCTATCAATCAGCCCATTACTCTTCAATCTAGTCATGGATCAAATCACAAAACACATTCAGGCCCCCTTGCCTTGGAACCTACATTACACAGATGACATATTGCTAATATCCAACTCGGGAACTGAGCTACAGACTGCATTGACAACATGGGTCACGGAGCTAGAAGCATCAGGTCTCAAGGTCAGCCGATCAAAAACAGAACACAAAGAATGTCTATTTAGTGCCAAGAACACGCCATTAACAATCTATTACCCTGATAATACCCCTGTACCGAAACTATTACGCTTTAAATACTTAGGCTCGATAATTGCGGACAATGGAGAGGTGGAGGCAGATGTGACTCACAGAGTTAATGAGTCTTGGCAGAAGTGGATATTACTAACCGGAGTCCTATGTGACCCTCGCATGCCTGTGCGAGCTACGGGTAAAGTATATAGGACGGCGGTGAGGCCGGCTATGTTGTACGGAGCAGAATGTTGAATGTTGAATGTTGGCCAATAAAGGGGACACTAGTATAAAAGCTTCATACCACCGAGATGATCGAGGTGGTCGAAAAAGTCTTAAGACTACCCAAACGCAAAAGAGGCAGAGGACCTCCTCCAGCCACCTGGTGGACCAGTACGAGCAAGCTTGTGGCTGCGGAAAAATTGCCCGACCCGACAATCCAGGACAGATTCTCCTGGCGCCGAAAAATTAGGAGAGCCGACCCCGTATAAAATGGGACAGAGCTAAGAGGAAGAAGAAGATTTATTATCAGAAAAAAATATGGATACCTACTAAAAATTTAATATAGGTGGAAAATAGTTACAATTATGGATTTAAATAGATTTTTAAATACAGTGAGTCTATATCTATATAATGCGAGTAATTGGTTCGCAAGTAATTTACAGCGTCTAGATCATCATTCTTTTTAAATCCATAATGTATAAACTGTTTTTATGCTCAATAAACATTATTTTATTTCCAAGTAACTTGCTTTGTAAGCTGTGTTTCGGTTGTAGGATGCAGATTAAACAGAGAAATTACAGTGTAAGAAGCATCAAATTTCAGTTCTCTGGACTGAAGGTGTAATATCACGGGTGTAACATTATATAGACAACGGAAACCGCTTAACATCATATGGAGCGGGCAGAGAAATTACAGGGTAAGATCCATGACATCTTAGTCCTCAGAAATAAAGGAGTTGTGTTACATTATACCTATAGGTTACCACATATACGGCCCTTACTTGTTTGGTATTTAAATAAAATGAATATATATACTCACGACTTGTTGGAATTCAATATCTTCATGTTGAAGTTTCTTGGCTAACTGTAAACTGTGCTGATAGTGCACATTGTCGTCCCCTGTACCGTGGACCAGTAGATATTTTCTACCTCGAAGTTTCTCTGTAGCGGCCAATAGATCAGACTGTTGGTACCCAATAGGATTAGCTTGCGGCGTATCCATATAGCGTTCTGTGTATATTGTATCTAAAACAAATGAAGAGAATAAGAACTGAATTTCTTGTCAGTTCTCGTGGCTCGATAATACTTAGAAGTGACGATAGATTTGAGATTTAATAAGAGACTGTAATAGACATACATGAATAAAGATATTTACATTGATTTGATTTAAATGTAATAACAATTTTTAATCTCGCATGTAATCGTAATTTATATTAGAAATACGAAAGTGGGTTTGTTTGTTACACTTCCACACCTAACCTGCTGAATCGGTTATTATGAAATTTGGTACAGAGGTTAATAGGACTCTGACAACGGTTATAGACTACTTTTTTCGTACAAAACGATATAAGGATTGAAGGGAAGAAATCGAACCTGCTACCATCGGAAGTAATGTTTTATTAAAAATTAAGATGAAATGGTATTTAATTTTTTTTTCTAATTGTAATTTAAATATTACAACGGTGCATACCATAATAGAGCCAGGATGTAACGGGGGCGACGGCAGCTCCGCATGTAATAAGTTTCTTTTCATCCTTTATTAACATCATGGTGGTCGCATATCCCCCGTAACTCCAACCCCACACACCAATGCGTTTGGGGTCAATGAAGTTATACATCCCAATTAGTACCCTGCAATTAGTAATGAAGGTTACGTTTTTAAATTATTGTTAAATACGACCGGAATAGTAAATAGCCGTGTCTCAAACAATCAATTTGTTAATATGGTCTTAACACCAATAATTTTATGGTAAATAAAAGCACGTGACTATACTAGTCGAAACTTCGAGAGAGACAAATTTACCATAAAATTATTCGTGTGACAATACACGAATTAATTTAAAACAAGGTTATATAAAGCGTTATACTCTTAGTCAGTAATTTTGCTGCTATACCACACCATTCAACACAGAATGCAGCTTGTTTAAACGCTACAAATAGGTAAGATAATGCAGATTGCTGAATAAACTGTTTAGATGTTAAAATATTTGTATAAAAATTTGCACGCATGTTTGAAAATTGAATACACTGAACATAATGTTTAATATTATAAATTTATAAGCACTGTATTCTGCAAATGTATGATTTAATTCGATGTGAAATAAATTTCATTTTAAAACATTATTACTTTTAGCATTAAATAATTCCGTAACAAATTAACAATAACTTGTATAATATAGTGTTATTACTCAATAGCGGCTAATGTGTCTGTAATTTCGACAGTGCCAAGTGCGTCGTTCACAGCATGCATCGCCTCCGTGCCCAGAACTCCGGAACCCCTCACATCGATCGCGGCAACTATAAAACTTCTATTGGCTGCTAAGTACAGTGTGTAATATTCTGCAAAAAAAAATTAAAATAAATAATATTATTGTCAACGTGGTTAGGCTAACTTCATCTCTCAAATTAAATTGGTGTCTTATCGATGTTACCATCATCGGAGAGTCAGTCAGATCTATAAATTAATATACTGGTATAGCTATGGCAAGTTAGTCGGTGTTAAATTTGCAGTAAGTATTAGTAAATCATTATTAAGCTACAGTGCTCTAAAAGAAATAAATATTTTAGGAAATTTATAAGGTCATTGATATTACTCATAAATAGGTCACTCTGAAGCCACTATGAAAATATTTTAGGAAATATACATATATATTTATAGTATTTATAGTCATTGGTACATTAAATACTAAAACTAATTACCTAAGTCAAAATTATCTTTAACTCTTGTCGTCCCAGGGCCTGCGTAAACTCTTACAATCATCGGATACTTTTCACCTTCCTTTATATCTGGAGGTAACAATAACTTAATATTGGCTAACGTATGCTCCTTCTCCAGATAAATCATATTGAACAATGGCATTGGTAATTTGTATTCACTCAGTTTCTTGTTTAGTCTTGCATTGTCCTTGACTAGTTTCATTGTATCATCCTGAAATAAATGTTAAATGAAAATAATGATAAGTTTAATAAAAATGAATTAGGTAATACTTAGGTACTTTACTATTTCCACTGACTTAAAAAAGCGAGAATTCTGTGTTTATTAGTTATTTATAAATCAATAAGTAATCTCTTCCAGTCTAGCTTAGGGTGGATAGAGAAAGAAAACTTAGAATAGGATATGTGGCGCACGTCATAAACAAAAATAAGTATATATGTCTATAAATGTACATATAAATTAAATTATTGTGGTAAAAACGAATAATTATCATAGATTTACCACACAGGAGTAGAAAAAGACTTTCGGCGCGACGTTTGTTGCACTGCAAGTCACAACACCGAAACTCGCACCGGGCGAAAACGCTGCCGATACGCACTGACAAGCTGGCTCTTTACACGAAATACACCGCACTGTACCATCAGCTTCCGTAGCCCATAGTTGTCTTAGCCACGGCATATGTCCCGGAGCAGCTATGTAATAGATTGTATCCGTTCCTTGATTCCACCCCAGAATTTCTGTTACCGACGAATTACCACTACTTAGATCTTCCGTGGTAAGTGTCTTGAAATCAAAACGACCCACGTGTGGGAATCTGGCGTCACCATCATATAAATGTTGAATTTCAACCAATTTCGTTCCATTTTTGTTGAAGAACGGTTGACTTATATCAATCCAGCCATTCGGTTCCGTTTGCTCCCTAACCAAACTACATTCGTCTTGTTTTAGATCACAGTTCACCAATATGCTGACGCTTTGACGTCTGGTTAACCAAAGAACGACTAGATTTTGGTCCGATGCCCAATCTACTCGACCCAATATGTGATCAACTCCAACTACGTCGACAGGAGCTGGAATCCGCCTCGCTTTACTATTGATATCATCCAATTTGAAAACTCGAAGTCCAACTACAGGATTGACGCGACCTGCCTGACAATAATTAATTGATTCACATGTATATAAAACACTTTATTTTTAATTGTATACTTTGTAAAAAAGTCGTCTACTTGCTCGCTTGTAGATTCGCCGAGTATTTGTTTAGTAGGTAAGAACCTCCTCGTCCTACTATGAGGGGAGGACGCTTTTGGAAATATTTTCCACACAATAAAAAAAGACGACCTCAGTCTTACCCATTTCGCCGCTAAGCAGCTGGCTTCGTAAACCATATTTTGATTGAAAGAAAGAGACATTATCATGATCATCATGATTTTTGATCTCCGGAATGGCAACGTGGAATGATAACACGGGTGTCACATTATGATAACGTGATATCTATAGTTCTTGTATTTAAGCGACGGTTACCATTACCACTTACCATCAGCTGTTTGCCATTCCAGCGACATTAGAAGAAAACAATTTTGAAGTGATAAATAGTACCAACCTTTGGATACTTAAATTCAACCAATTCAGGATATTGATTGTTAGGATCTGACTCGTTCCCGTAGTAAGGATAAATAGCTGATTCGACATTAGTGTCGTTAAAAGATGCCACAGCCAAGTAAGTGCCATTTGGTGAAAACCACAGAGCCTCAGCTGCATTGAACACCTCCTCTGCAATTAAAAAAATAACACATATTACAATACTGGTGTTGCCGAAGGTAACCTATTTGATAGTTTTTTTTTATATATTTTTATTGTATTTTATATTTTGACGCTCTGTTTCTTTAATGCGTTTATATAATACCAATTTATATCATATTATGTTCCTACTCTTGAAGCTGACCTGAATACAAGCAAACCTTATCAAGGAATGTGTCTTACTTTTAACCACCTCATACAGTCCTTCCGTCATAACGCAACAAAAATTAAATTAATGAATTAGATTTTACAATTCAAACTTTAGAAATTCCTCAATTTTAATATTTTGTAAGTCAATCCAGTATTGTACCTATTAGGTGTCCGATATGTATCTATCTATAACCTTAACTGTAGATATGCGACGATTATCGAATTGCGCGTATTGGTTGACTACCCAGATTTTTCCCGAAAATTAGAAAGTTCAAATGCAGTCGACACAAGAAAAACTATTTTATATTTCTTTTCCACTCTCTGATGATAAAAAACCCGATACCGGCAGCGAGTTGGTTGTAACCACGCTGGTTTAAAATACATTTAATGAAATGTGATTCTCTAGTCGATCTATAGTCTCTAGTTTCATTATAACGGCAACATTGGACAATGCCTCTGTCTACCCCATCTGTGAGTTATCACAGTCGACATTATTGTTATTATTTTATAGACAAAAAGAAATGAATAATACAGCGAACCCTACCAAATAAAATTTGAACAGCTCTCATGAGTATGAATCTCAACAAGAAATTTGTTACCATCTTTATAATGACCTACATTTGCAAAATAAAATATATTACTAATTGGTACTACGTGTATATAAAGTATACTATGTAGCCTCTATTTTCTACAATAACAACGTCAACAAAAATTCTTGAAGTATCGCTACCAAGGGTTAATTACTGCAACAATCAATCACTGTTTCCATTAATTCACAAACAAAAAAAGAATCTTTATCGAGTCGGTATCAACTTAACGCAAACTTTATATGATTGATGACGGACTTGTGTAAATATTGTTATTGTGAACTAGACGAGCCAGCGTCTCCGTGCGCGTGGTATTCCGAATAACAGTGTGTTATAACTTTTTTTTATTGTAAACAGATTGAACTGACATAGTAAAGGCTTACATCTCTTATGCATACAGTAAATACATAATAATAATAAAATTATAAATTAAGCCATGATATAAGTTTGCACAGACGAACAGATAAAAATATTTCAAGACCTAACTATGTGTAAATGAGTAGTATCATTATATTACTACAATAATAATATCTTAGGACAATTAGCACAGCGTCATCTACTCCCAAGGTAAGCAGAACTTGTGTTATGGGTACTAGATAACTGTTATAAATACGTACATAATTTTTTTTTTAAATATGCATAATAATATAGAAAGAAAACAATCAGACTGATACAATACATGTTTGTACTCTGAGTGAAATCGAACCTGCGATCATCGGAAGTAAGATGGTATGCAGAACTGAGACTATAAATATATTAGGCTACCGAGGCCGTGTCAGTTGATATATATGTATAGACAGGTTCGTTTAGTATTTTATTATGTGTATGATATAAGCTAGTAGATTCTGACCTTCATAGATCCAGTCAGTGGCACCAAAGTACACTTCTCCCGGTACACCTTCGGTGGTGAGCATCACCACTGTCTCAGGTTGTGCCACATCAGGGACATAGTACACGTTGTTCTCTTGTACGTAAGCCAATGAAGCGTTGCTACTCCAAACAACTACTTGTAGAAGACCATTCCCAATAGCTTTTAAGGACCTGGAAATAATATTACCTAAGTGATTTCAAATGATTCTGAACGAATTATAATTAAATGTGTAGATATAATTTTTAATAATTAAATTCGATTTTAATATCGAAGCATTTTATTTTGTTCCCGCGTATGTAGGTATAAAATAGATAACTAAAAATTGAAAAAAAACCTACTTCAATAATAAAAAGAAATGGAAGCAATTTGAAAATATACTCTATCAAATAAAAAAGATTTTCAAATTATAAATGACGGGTTCAAAAATGAAAAGAGATAACTAACTAACTAACTATAAAAGAATAACTAAAATTAAAAGTTTTAACTACTTCAAAATTAAAAAACAAAAATTGGAAGCAATTTGAAATCATACTCTATCAAATAAAAAATAAGAACGGGATCGAACGACAGTTAAAACGTTAACTCAGGAATATACTATTTAATATTTTTATACTATGATGAAATATCGCAGTAAATTATATTCAGATTGAAATTATAACATTAGAAAAATGTATTTCAATTTGACATATTTTTTATTAAATCTTGCTTTTGCCAACAATAAAATGTTTGTTGGTGTCCATACGAAGTTTGTCACGACTGGCTGGTATTTGTATTTTATTAAACATACCTATTACTTATTAAATTAATACGGTTTTGTTACATTATTACAAATATATTTTTCTGCAATTTGGGCGCCAAGCGGAAGAGAAAACTATTATTTCCGTGTAACAGACGGCTTGCACGTAATTAAAGATACTCGGTTATAAAATGGAGCTGTTAACCTTCTGAGCAAAAGGTCTGTGGGTTACCTTTACCTTAAATAGACACGCCTATATATATCATAAAGATTCTAGAAAATTCTTTATAAAAAAAACTAGCCGACTGTATTAACTTATGGGTCTTTCTATATGTTAAGTATTATGCATGCATATTTTTCTTTGTAAATATGTGCATGTTATCTTGAAGGTTATATGTACCTAATCTAAAATTCTAAATGGTATACATAATAAAAAACTTACTTATTTTCTGTATTATAAACGTAATACTCCGCCACAGTAGAATATCTGTATACCTGAAATTAAAGAATGAATGGATTTATATAAAATAACATAAAATGTTATATTATTTCAACTACGCGTAGGTAGGTATATATATGTATGTATAATACTAATCAAGTTAAAAAAAATATTAGGACATAATTTTAATATATTATTTAAAAAATGCTATGTGGACCGCAGTATGATGCTGAAAATATGTATTCCAGCGCTGATTTTCAGTTAAGCCCACAGTTATGTTACAGATTTTAACAACAGCTAAATTCATACTTACACAAATTCCAATAATATAGTCATGAAACTGAACTGAACAGCAAGTGAAATATTATTAAATATTAAAGGGATTTTATGAAACTTTTCGTTCGATTTATAAATAATATCGCTGGCTTTCGGCTAAGTTTCCTTCACTATTGTTCCTTATATACCTATTTGACTTCTTAGGTCTTCAATACGTTGAAACATATGTATATGATAATTTCATCTATGAATATGACAATACTAAATTCGTAATCGGTTTATTGTTATGCACAACTTGAGACCTTCATTAAAAATTAACCATAATAATGCAAAACAAATGCGACCTTTAAAATCAGTTAACCTTTTAAAGACAAAATAAATATGTAAATAGAGATATGGTAAATATGTAGGTACAGAAATATTGTAATTAATGAAAGGTGTATTTTGGGTTAAGGTTTGAGTTTGTAATCAAAATATTCGTATATACAAAACCTGTATTTGATATTAAAAATATAATACTTAAATATAGGACCTAATTTTTTTTATTCAAAAAATAATTACCACCTGTTATTTTACAAAGATATATCTCAAGGAAAATTATTTTGTAAGACAATGTCTGTTGTAAAAACTAATTTAGTTGTAATTTCGAAATAACGAAGTTCTACCTCAATCGGTGAGAGGGATGGCCCAGGCTTGGAATAAAGGTTTAAATTCGAACCGCCCCCACTTTGAAACTTTTTCTATCACTTAATAATATTTGAATATGATTTTCTACTTTAGTAATTACAACTGATGTGAATGGCTTTGAAAATATTTAATGCTATTTTGAATTGTAGAGACATTATTTTTATGACATTATAAACAATTACAGGATTATGTGACTTAAATGCTATCTAACTATACGCTATAAAAAAAAATTGAAAGTGTTTTTTTGCAATTGTGTATATACCATTTGACAATTGAAGTTTTGATTTTAAAGTGAAGCTGTCTCACTCTGCCACTGACTCGTTACACAAGTTTACAATTTACTATTGATTTGTTACAATGAAGAATTGCCAACAAGTAAGTTACATTGATCAGCCAAAAATCATAGTGTGCCTAACTAGCTATACCATAGGTTAGCTATGTATGAGTAATTATATACAAAACATTAGCCATTAGAACCCCACTTCTTTTGGTCAATAATGTAACGGCTTTTATATATTATAACAACTATTCAGACATACAGTTGCATGCTTGTAGAATGTATCAATTATAAATAAATTTATAGCAACTTGTATATCAATAAAAAAACAAACAAACTCATAAAGAATAACAGAAAAAATATTTCAATTAGTACCAAGATAATCGGTTTTCTTTGTTGCCACGCTTGAGCGGCGATGCAAATCGCTGTGATGTATAATATACCCATAAATAAGCATAACGTAATTAACATTTTCATTTTCTTTCATATAATATCTGTTATTGCCAATGCAAAAAAAGCAACTCTCACAAATTTGGCGATAAAAACTGAAACTAAACTCTAAATATGAATTACTGATAGTTGAATTATGAGTTTTGAACATGTATAGGTACATAGAGTTTGACATAAAGTTATATATCCATATATCATATATCCATATAAATATATATATACATTTAAATAATATGCATATTTAATAACGTAGTAAAAATATATCTAGTTTAGAATTCATATCTAATGATTAAAATACAAAATACGAAACGATGACCTTACCTTTTGCAAATGTCTGGTTAACAATACATATTTTCCGTCATTTGAAAATGTCACCAGCGAGTAATTAGACAGCTGTATCTGTAAGCATATTCATATTACTTAATAAAGGTTTTACCTACAATTAGTTATATTGTAGACTAGCTGTACCCGCGATTTCGTCCGCGTGTAATTTAACTTTATTTAGCTAAAATAAAAGTAGTCTAAATTACTCCTTATTACATCAGCTACCTGCCAAAAAAGTCCCGTCAAAATCAGTCCAGCCATTTCAGAGATTAGCCTGAACAAACAGACAGACAGACAAAAATTGTAAAAAATGTTATTCTGGTGTATGTGCCGTATTTATATTCATATGCATGTAGTAAAAAACGGTTATTTCAATGTTACAAACAGACATTCCAATTTTATTTATATGTATAGCTAACAAATCATATGGACTAATTTTTGCAAGATAGAAATTAAATAAACTACACGAGTTTACATATTAATGAAGGACCCTGTTTTATAATATACTTCTGCGTTTATTGGAACGTAATTTATAACGTAATTAATATACGCGGAATTCATAACCAGAATCCTTTATTCCTTTGAAATTCTTACCTATTCTGAAGTATTAGCAATGCACCAAAGGTACTCCTGCTTTTAAAAGGTGTATATATAGCGGTATTTATATATCGCTTAATAGGTTTCAAAACACTAGTAGCATAAAACTTGATACGAAAATGTTACATAGTGTATATAATCATCGTCTAATCAAAATGTATTAAGCTTCAGAAGGATTATTTTAAAATATCTACATATATAGAAAAAAGAGAACAGGTAATAGGGTAAAGAGGTATGTATTGCTATTCTATAGACACTTACCAATTCCGGCTTATTTAAAACAGTAACAAAAGAATGATTGACCGCATTGTACTTCAGGATCCCAATTTCAGGTTCTCTACGAATGAATTCTGTATCTGCAACATAAAAAAAATATATTTCGTATAAGGTAACTTTAATCTAATGATTAATTACTTTAATCGTATGATATACATATAAATCCATTGATATTAGGTACATATTTGACAGGGTTACATTCCCGAGAGATTATTTGAATTCAACATAGAAAGGGGTATGCCTACCACCATCTCTCGAATTATTCTGAGGGTAAAGTTTCGAATTATTTTAATCAAAGTTGAAAATCAGAGTTTGCAGTTAATACAGACAATGTAGCGGGCGGGAAGATGTGGAAATACTTATTATTGTAAGCTCGAGACAGACCCTGGAATCAGTTTTGATTTACTATTTCCATATTTATCCTTTTTTTATAAGCGAATATATTTTCGTGTAACTGGAATAGCAGACAATCAGACAATAGTGTTGTATACATACATACATATATGTAATTAGGTATATATTTTATAACCACACCTATTCCATAGTCATAGTTCACTCGTTTACCTACAGCCTAACTCGCCTCGCTTTTGCTAAAATCAAATGCATTAAAATTAACACTAAATACTATTTCTTTATTGTGTCTATCTTCTGGTGATATGTATTTCCCTATAAACTGTATTGTGTTTATCTGAACTACCGCTGTTTCTTGTGATATTTTTGTGTAGGTAATATGTGATGAAAATAGTGTGTATCTTTTATTAAATACGTGAATTCATACTAGTATAGGAGTATCCCCAGTCGTCGCCTATATACGAGTACATAGACATACACGTGATAGTCATAGTACCTTTCATCCCTTGACATTCTATAGGCCTAATTATAATAATTATAAAATCTTAGAACAACTCACACAGTGTCATCTGGTCCCTAGTTAAGCAGAGCTTATGTTACTGGTACTGATATAAATACATAGATACATTTTTTTGCAAATACATACATAATATACCTACATAGAAAACACCTATACCAATACAAACAATCATGCTCATGCTTTGTAAGCTATGCATCGGTAGAAGGATAAATGTAACTGTAAATTACAAATGCTAGGCCGTGGATATAGGAGAGACCAAGTCTACCTTGGTAACACTGGATAATAAACAAAGCATAAACTATTACCTGAAACCCATTGTACTGAAAGCCCGTCAGGATAAAAACTTGGATTGAATGGTATCAAATCTTCGAGCAGCAGTGTCTTTAGTGCAAGCTGAGGAAATGGCGAAGATTCAGTATGGGATACCAACAATGTTACCAGTAGAATCAGCCGTTGATTTATTCTCGCCTGTAAACCAAATATATGAAATTTCAATAATTCGAAGTCTTCATCTTTATTATCATTACATATTAAATAAAGTCGCTGTCGCTGTTTCTACCTATGTATGCTTAAATCTTTAAAACAGATTTTGAAGCGGTTTTTTAATAGATAGAGTGATTCTAGAGGAAGGTTTATACATATAGTACATGTAAACCCATGCGTATAATCCTTACAATTAATGTCAAAAAGTTGATTTGCTAAAATTTCAATTAATAAATAATTTAGAGCCATATGTGTTAAAAACACTGTTTGTTCTAAACTGTATATTAATTTTGAGTACCAGTTTAGTAACCTGTATTCTCGCAGTTTAGTAAGTCATGAGCAATTAGTATACAATACTTTTCTGTAACTGGGTAGACAAGTGGCCAGACTAAAAAGTGAATGGCCAAAACCTTGGTAAATGGCACAAGTACGTAGCTATTCAACAAAGCAGCCTGCCTATAGAAAACTTTTTATAACACACATTAGTAACAAATTTCTCTATAACTGAACTAGTATTATTCAATAGTGATTACATTCGACTTCCATGGGAACAATTACTTTTTGACTAATATTTCGATCGCAGGGTTGTTAGAAGCTTAGAAGAATATATTTGAAAAACATAATATGGCTATCTAAATCCTAGTGCTCTGTTCAAATGAAGTATTGCCGATTTTACGTGCCGATACTTTAATTAATTAATAACATCGGCATAGTACTTTTTTATTTAATCCAATCCACACAAACCTACAAAATAACAAAAACTGTCGTATTTAAAATACTAATACAAATAAATAAAATTAAAAGCTGACAATGCAATATAAGAGCTGATGTGCTAGCCACTTATTTAAGATAAAATACACAAAACTCTATGTACGTATTTAAATTATTAATCAAGACTAAGCAGTGACGTGTGTGACACGTTTCATTTACATTACCGTATGTACAGTTACAAATGATAATTCAATTAGTGGAGTGGTACATATAAGGAAGTCAATACTAATTTCCATAACAAACCTTATTCATTACGAATAAGTACTAAAACGATTTGTCTAGTATAATAAACAAGTATACTTCTGTAAAACGACTTGAGACTCTATTATCATGTCGTACAGCTAACAGAGTTGGCTATAATGTTACGTAAAGCATGCCAAATCGAATTGGAACAGAAAATACCGAGACCAATTTGGCAACTATACAAGGAATAAAAATTTTGTAAAATATCTATTAAATGGTTTCCAACATAGTCTCGACACATTATTATTTTCAAATTTGCATACTATTGGAAAGTAATAAAAAATAACAATCGGAATTTTGTCGACCTCCGTATTATGTGATTAATTTTATATTACAGAGTCATAATAGATAATGCAGTAAGATGTTAGGTCCGTCACATGTACTTAGAATAATGTGCATTAAAGTATTATAAAAAAAATAAACAAATATTATTCTTAAAAACTTTTTACACGTAAGTATGTATTGCGGAATATATTCCAGGTGAATTTTCGAAACGCCACGTATTGAAACTTTTAAGAAAAAAGATTTTTTTCTTTAATAGTAAGTGCAAACATATAATTTCCCTGGCATTTCCCAATGGTGCCTCATATGTGCCGTTAATTATTTATCAACTAGGGGGATAAATTCGTTAACAACTGTTTAAAATAGGTATACACAAATATACAGTTACAATATCGCAACTGCATATATGCATCGCTTTTTCATACAATGTATATTTACAACAGAAAGTAACTGTTGCTAACTAAATTTCGTTAAGTTATTACATAGAAATTAACGTTAGAACATTTATTATAGCATTATATCATTTTGCACTGTTATTATTATCATCATTATATGTAGCTGTAATGCCACCTCTTATTTTTTCCGGAGTATTTTATTTATCTATTTTGTATTTTATTTCTACGTTACATTACACTGTAATAAAAATTACTATAAAGATAATAAAAAGGTGTATCTATTTTACCTATTTTAATGATTACTTTTAAAAGATTTTTGTCACATATAAGCAGAAAATTGATACTGGCGATTGGTTTTCATATATCCATACATATATATATCAATGCACTTTGGGATATCTTTTTCCACTTGTCTGTGACTGGTATGTTGTTTTGCGGAAATCCAGTTAAGTGGTGCTGCAATGGATACGCAAATATGTCAAGGCGTCCATGAATTCAATATCGGCTTGTGTATAGTAGTAAATGAGTAAAACGTCCATTATAACAAATAATGTAGTTCCTACATTACTAGGGGCAAACGAGCTTGTGGTTCATCTTAGTAGATAATTACCGCTGGCTATGAACAAAACCTTTACTGGTGTGAGCTAGGACGGAAGCGGTGAATAAGGGAACGAGACAAGAAATAGCAAACGGTAGAAGAGAAGAAAACAAGTATTTGATATCTATTCGAATTCATCACATAATACACAATAACACGGGCTAACTAGTAATTAGTGGATACAATCACTTTGCTCCGTTATTCCATGGAGGTGGGATATTTTCTGAATCATACTGATCAATCTGCTGTACTTACAACCAAGCATGATTTAGTACTGTGCTCTACCACAAAAATAATCCTATCGAAGTTAAATTTAGGTATTAATTATGAAAACAGATTAAAAAACAACGTGCAATATATTTGACACATATTTAGATTTTGTATTGAAACTCGCTTGAAATAATGAATTCAGATATATTAAAGTAACTAACCTGTGATGTGAATGAAAAAATAGATTCAATGTCATGGCTAAAACATTGTAGAGGAAAAGAAGGGGAATGCCGAGGAAACATACGCATATGACGGCAACCGGCTGCGTGGCGTGCATTTTAAATGTACAGGAACTACACTACAAAGCCTGCGGTTTCAATAATACATTATGATCCTCGTATTATTTATAGCTTCAATTATTTGAGTATACCTACATTTTAAGAATGTATATTTGATTACATAATAAAAAAGTATATGGTTTACAACATTCATATTTTGCACTCGCAGTACGCTAACCGTTTACCATCAGATGCCCCGTATAGCCACTAATCCTGTTAAAAAAGTACTTATTCGGTACCGGAACTAAGCATATGTTAAATAAGATGTGCACACTTTGAACTCATTGATGTGGTTTCAAAAACGCGATGCACAAATGTAAATGTTTATTCAAACTCTGAACACACGCTCAAAACTCAAATATCCATACCATACGACTTTGTATAATAGATATTTGCGTATTTAAAGCCGTCTGGCGACAGCCTTATATTATAATAATCGTGTACGGTTTAGTAGTTGTAGTATGAGATTCGTGCACGACTAACTACTACACCTACACTAAACACACTAAATTTCCAATAAATATGAGTCAAATACGTATATCCCTACCTATCCTACGAAGTGGAGTGAGCTGGTTATATATGTCGCAGAATCGATTCTCGTTATACACCAACAAACATCGGTTCGTATTCTAGAGTGGAGACCGCAAATTGGCAAATGTAGTGTAGGACTCCCCGCAGCTATGTTGAACGACGACATACGTAGGGTTACGGGTAGTAACTGGAAGTGAAAGGCTGAAAATCCGTGCCTTGGGAGAGACCTAGGTCGAGCAGTGGATTGATGATGATCATAATTAACGAATAATAATAAATCATTTTAAAGGAGACACAGTCCAATTTCTTCGTTTGTCTTAACTAATATTTGCTGAAGTAAACGGTAGGTAATAGATACATATAGCTTTGATAACATAAATTGCATTTCGTTACATTCCCCTGTTAATTTTCTATTTCAAAATTTAAGCACTATTATTGTTTGTGGAATAAGGATTAAATAATTTAAAGTAGTAAGTACAACTCAAAACTCAAGTTTATATAACTGAAATATAAGCAACAACAAGCAACATAACATAACAACGAGCCGGCCTATCTGATGGAAATTGGCAATTGTTACCTCAACACCATGAGGATCATCGCGTCAGTAGGTACAGTATGTACGTCAGTCATTCAAGCATTAGCAAGTAATGCTTGAATGCATGCCTCTACTAAACATGGAATTATTAAAAAAATAGGAATTCATCAGATTAATTAACTTTGATTACATCAAACAACTGATTACAATTTTCTTGCAATATATCACTCAACTAACTGACATTGAAATTGCATACCATACGTATCAAGATTTTTATTGCTTCGATGTATCAGTAATTAAGGCGTGACTTCAACATGGCATTTCATCTCCCATTTCTCAGTAACAGTGTGTATGCAATAATGCTTATGTATAGTTTTTGATAACGTAGTAGGTATTAATAAAAAACTATCAAATAATATAATTAACTTTAAAAGAATAAAACATGAGAATAACAATCCCCAACAATCACTACCGTCAATATAGAGATAGAGCGAAAGTTAATTCGTTCACGACATATTACATAAACATTATAGCTCACTGCGTAAATAAACATACATTTACAAACCATGATTACAAACACTTAAGAGTTTGCGCGAAATAGGCGGGAAACAACTTTAACAAAACCATAGACAATGTCGCTTGCGAAGTTAACTCTGGTACTAAAATAATTAAGTTTTTTTTTATATTTAATATATTTTATTATTCTTATTTCAAATTTCGCCACATCCACAATACAATTCAATTTTATTTATTGACTACAATTTGAAAAAGAAACCTGTTGAATATTCGTTACATGTTTACAAGTATTGACTAAAGTAGGTTACTACACTTGTTACATAATCCTTGTGTTTCTACAATATCTCTTCATAACGTCCACCTTAAATTAATGTAGCCATTTACAAGTGTGGATTTTTATTCTGAGCGAAACTAACGGATAGAATCTAAAAGGTAGGTAACTAGCTGATAAGGTAACACATATAACTGGTATAGATCTGTCCTCCATTCTTTTTCAATAAGTGTCAGAAAAAGCTTTGCCTAATACAGCTTAAAAACATAATATCCAGAATAAATAGCAGCCCACACTATCTCTATCCTCAATACTATATGTATACAATATTTTATGATGATTAATTTTGTCCTTAAGGTACCAAGAGGTAAAACGCAAACAAATACACAAATTCACATTCATATTTCTAATATTAGTACGAGGTTGGTTCACAAACTTTTCATCCATATTTCTTAAAGTTTACGAAGTCGAGTAGAACTAATCGTTAATCTTACTTAGCAAATGCTTATAAGGATAGAATAAGAAATTATTAATGCTGCTGGAAAGAGGATGGTGGAAAGGGGAGTGTATACTGGAATGACTGTAAATAGGAATTCAGAACAAAAGTAAGTAAACATATATATCCTTGCCTGCTCCATTCCTCTACCTAGCTTAAACAAAATCTTAGCTAAATTCATGCACTGCAATAACTCAAAAACTAAACGAGTCTGTAACATGTTCATCAGACGAGAGTAGATATATATTGCAAATTATTAATATTTTTATATGCATTGTTTACATAGGATGTATAGCATTAATGAATCACCTCAGCTTAGGTATTCTATTCATATATGATAAGCAAGTAACTGAAAAAAGAACATTCGATATTTTTTTTATATCTAATTAAGTTAATTAGATATAAAGAAAATATCGAACTACATGAACGAGTTTTATTGCGCCCAATTCAATGTATAAAAAAGTGAAATAGTATAATTCTACAATTCATATTTATCGTTTTCCGATAATATGGTTAATTTCGATGACAATCAACATTGACGCCATTCAATATAAACAATAACCATACAACCAGTTGTATTGTAGAGTCCACTCTAAATCTTAAGTCATACATACGTCGTTATACAAATAATATATAGTTAATAATATGTGTATGTAAATTACCATTATAATAGGCTATTGTTATTGATGGCTTATGTTTCAAAGCTGACGTCAGGTTTGCATTCGCTTTATATATTGTATACTTAGAATTAAATGTGATCTGTGTATAATACATCAATACATGTAACATCTGTTTAATTAATGCTGAAAAATAGACACGAAAAATATTTAATGTAGTACAATAAACTCTGTGGCCGTGGTATTTCTTCCCAGAAGCGCCATGTCACATCACTATGACACAAAAAATAAAGTTCATATCAATATTATCCATGACAATATTGATACGATTCATTGTAACGAACATCTCATCACTATGCTTCCAGCAGATTTGATCACGAACTATTATCATGTTACGAGAGCTAAAATCGCAATTTGGATGTTTCTTGATGTAAATTCAACTGCCACTTAAGATACATAACTGTAATGATATGTACCATATATGCCATAGTATATATGGTACATAGTATGTAAGTCATAATTTACCTACTTACTTTTTTCCTGATGTATATGTACATGTGTAGATTTGTTTGATTTGAAATTTAGATTCAATGTTATTATTTTTTCATATATTGTCATGAAATAGTGTAAAACGCGGTTTTGCCTGAATAAATATAACTTAACTGGCTGTGCCCGCGGTTTCACCCGCATGAAAATGTATAGCCTATAATATGTTATTCTGATGTATAAGCTATATTACTATAATGTTTGATCAAATCCGTTCAGTAGTCCTTGCGTGAAAGAGTAACAAACGTAAGGATGAAATGATTTAATATGTAGTATATAATTTATTAGGATAAGTTCCTAGTGCTAGTCTGTGACGAATAGTAATAGTCCCAATTACTTCTATTTTTTCAACGTATTAAACGTATATTTAAAGAGTGTGCGAGTACCTAGCACTTCTTTATGTTAGTAATAGTGCAGTTGGTATTAAATATCAGTAGATACTTTATAAGTTATAACTAACGATTAAAAGAGTATTATTATGAAACAAATATATAGCATGTGAAAACAATCTGTCGTTTTAAATTTTGTTGTTACGAACTATTTTACACTATCAGCTGCAGTTCCATTTTCAATTTCAGATGGTAAAGGGGTGAATGTGAAAGGCTCTCCAAGCTCGCGTAATATTTACAGAGCGGTTGAAGGCCAAGTCCTGGTTTGACTGACTGATGCATATTATGCCTGAGGGAATCTAGCGCTGCTCAGACTATGGTTACAGTTGTAATATCGGCAATCTCATCGATTCCCGTTTGAATGAGATTTAGCGTTCAGGATCTGTGTGGAGTATAACATAAACAATATTCTACTCACCATGTCACGTGACTGTACGCAAGAATTACAGGACGTGAGGACGAGCCCCCAATAGAAGTTAAGTGGTCCAATCAGATAGCATCACTGAGCACGGCGCGCGCGCACGGTTCCTAGTACTACAATAAGGCACGAGAGATCGCGGGGCCGTGCGGTCGCCGACTGCGCCCGCGCACCTCCAGAGTCACAACACTTACGCACTTACTGGCTCACAAGTTACAATCCATATTGCGAGCCATTCCAACTGGTTTATTCACCCCAGATATAATAATAATATAATTGAGTATGTTTTTAGGAACTTATCTCGTACACTTACACTTTAAAAGGAGATAAAAATACAAGCTATAAATAACTAAATAAAACAATATGGAATTAAATAAGTCAACTGATTGAAAGATTTAAATTTACGTATAAGTATATGTAAATTTAATCTTAATCATATTATAGCGCACTCTAGTCTTAAACCGTAAAATAATTCATGAACACAGAAGTTTGTATCATGCGGATATCGAACCCGAAAACATCGGATGATTTGAGTTGTGCAATCCTTAAACTATTGCCAACTTTTGCCATAAACTTAGACACACTAATAATCATAGAAATAAATATTAAAAATAATATTAAAATTGTTTATCATAAAATCAATAACCACGCACTTTAAGAGAATAAATCGTTACTAAGAATAAGGGCTGTTATCTCTAATATACCTAATATTATAGATATTTTTACTTCCATATATTAAATACAAGAGACGTAGCTTCAAATTGGTCATATATCATCTTAGCTCTCTGACTATCCAGTGACATTTGTAAATGCCCTTGATGTAGTTGATTTCCTCGTAGGTAGCTTCAACCTATGTAGATAACATAACAAAATATTTTCAAAATTATTATTACTGAATGGATTTACTTACTAAATATTTACACTTTAAAAAAATAAATAATCTTTATTCTAATAAACATAATTTGAGCACTTTTGAATAATCCTGTTTTTATTCTCTCACACTTTCGGAACGTAAACTCATCACAAGAAGAAAGAGCAAGAAACTAGCGTGTTGCTCTTTTAAATAATATTGTTCAGAATTACAGTTTTAGGCATTTTGTGTAAATGCATATTAAAAATAAAATCCTAGTCATGCAAAATACTCTAACATTGATCAATTTTTTTTTATACTCAGTCCTTTTAACTGTGGACATTTCTATATCTAAACATGTAGAGTTATTATAAGGAATATTTGATATGGTCTGCGTAACGATTTAATTTTATACGATTGAAATAAATACCTACCTTTCCTAGCTATTCGTGCTATATTTTGATTTGCTTTTAACTCGTCGGCTATTTACGTAACACTTAGGTACCTACCGTTGCTTCGCTATCGTCCGGTCATCACAGCATTATACTAAGAACGTATGCTCTTATACAAGATCCTTTCCGATTCCATAACAATCATCAAATATGGAATAAAAATAGACAACAACAATAACACCTTACTAAAATTAAATAATTTTGACACGTTATTTTTCATTTATTATATTTACAACGCCAACAATAATATTCTTTGTACCCCTTATGTTATGATATACCTAGTTGATTGGTAGAAAATGCCGCATTATTTATTAAATCCGCCAAACATACCTTTTGTATTAAAATCGCGGGTTTTGATTTACATGTGTTCCCTTTACTATTACCACAGAATAGATAATATTACATACTACTACTAATTCATAGCCTCCATCAATACTTCTACCCTCTATTGATGGACATAAAATCACAACATACGTTCAGCTAAACTATTTAACTGAATGTAGTGTCAGTCACTATTCGAGAACCAACTAAATTACAAAAGAGAATACAAAATATATCACAAGAGACGGCACAAGACACAGAGATAGATACTACTGCTGCTTTACAAATGATATCATAACATCATATTAATAATAATTAACATCTCTCTACAGGTCATGGTATCTCTTACCATAAAGTTTTTTATAGGATATTATTATATAAGATATGAAATCTTATTTTGTACAATACATTAATGTAACTAACTACTCGTATACAAATCCGTCTATCTATATACTAAATTCTTAATTAATTATTTTTTAAGTTCGTAATCATAATTAATGTTTTTTATCAAAAGTCAAACACTTTAATAGTATAAAATGTTTGATTTTTGATTCCTATGTTTGAAGGCACTAAACTGTGGATACATGGTTTAAAAAAATCTTTTACATTTGATTATCAAATTCTGAAGAAAGATTAGAAGGCTCTAAAACATTACGCTATGACCTTATTATTAAATTTCAAGACCTAAGTACTAAAATTAATTCACCTAAGCTTTAACCGAAATAGAATTGTGCGGGCGAGTAATGCAATGGGATTTTTTTAATTAAATAGCGCAGCGCGTGAATCCGTGCGACAAACCTGTTTAGTAGAATAATGACGTATGCTTAATTTTTTATATTCATATTAAGTGTATCTTTATTACATTAAAGCTATAATGACAGCAATTTGATAAATGTGGTTATTATCTTACAATGAGGTCAACAATTACTATGCCATTAACTGTACTATCTTTTCTGAGATACCTATTGATTTACAATAGATGTGAAAGATGATTAGTTGAATAGTACATATAGTTTAAAGTTAGATATTTGATTCCAATCTTGGAACAAGTAATGTTTTTTTTGAAGTGTTAAATACTTTTAAAAAATATAGAAAGATGATATTTTCTTTTCTTTATAAAAAATCTCTGGGAAAAATATTGAAAAGCTGTATACACACTTACTAAATAAACAGGTAATAAAAAGGTAGGAACTCGTACAGAAACAGTAATGGGATTTATAGTTAGAAGTTGATGGATTTTCATCTATAAATGTAGAAGACCTTTAATATTTATATTGTAGCTACTTTTAATAATGCCATCACATAGCAAAACCGGTCAGGTAATTTTTTTTTTCTTAGGCATTTTATGTAACAGATATTAAACTTGAAATGGGTTATTTTTAATTACAATTTAATTAATACATTTATAAAACTCGTCATGATTTTTTAAAATTTTTAAAACTACTCTTCGGTCAAGTTCTTGGTTTCGTTTCTTCGAAATATTTTCAAAATAAGAAAAACTAACAAGAAACTCAGCTCGTATTTTTATAAAATTAAAACACACTTTTACAATACAGATTCATTTTTAAAGATTAAATTTTTTGAGATTAAAGTGACCTCCAGCATATGCTATTGCAATTTTGTCAAAATCAAATAGTCTAATCAGTGTTCGTAACTCGAACACACCAGACTCCACAAGCACCATCCGTTCACGACTATGACGGATGAGCCAGCCATCATTGCACTCAACCATATTAGAAGGAGACTGACCGGCCCACCACGCCACCACTTCAATCTATTGTACCTACTTGTCTTGCTACAATGGTGTCTTAAATAATGTCACGCTCTAAAACGCTGTAAACACCAAAAATCCCGGAGAATAATTGCTATTAGACATGCTGTGCGTGTGCGGTGGCATGGCGCGACGTCATTGTGGGTGCTATTGTATAACTGATCGGTCGTCTTATTTCCTTTCACTTTCGTCGGTCGTCAGCCTCTTCTAAACCTCACTGCACACGTGCTGGAAATACGTCACATAACATATCGAATGTAGGTATCTATACATGTATTATTAAGGGTATATAAAATCCAGACATCACATTTAATACGTCTCTAAATTTGAGAGAAAGACATCACAGTGTATTTTGTGATGTCTTTTGTCTATACACACTTTTTCGATAGATCTTCCGCCGGGGATTGAAATTACGACGATCAGAGCCGAGGTTAGATACCCTCAGATTAAAGTCGTGTCCAGCGGGCAGGAGTTGACCTTCAGGCGCTCCAGAAATCCATTCAGCTTTTCTACACTCGCCCCATTTTAGTTTCCGCGAAGCTGAATATGCCAGCTGCTGTCAACAGCATTACAATAATCAGAAAAAACTTATCTATAGATAAGAATTACCAGTACATAGAGTGGACAGTCAGCTTGTTTGTAATGCCAATCGTAGATGTAAGTGAACAAAAGAAAAAGCGTCAGGATAATTAAGAGCCAAAATGCGAGAATCCATTATTGCGGGAGTATAATCCATTATGTAAGCACTAATATGTAAACTCTAATCTTTGGTAACGGTAGTATCTTGTCACTTCAGTAAATACTATATATATATTTACATATACATATATATTTTCACAGATGTCCATTATCATCTGTGAAAATATTCTAACTATGCTATCATTATAACGAAATTAAACATAATAATTCTATCTCGCAAATAATCCAAAACACAAAAATATACGATATACGACAGCTTCTGGCAGAACACAATCTGAAATTACTTAATATACATTTATACCACTAATATATACCTAATGATATTGTAATAAAATTAATATAATATTCAGTACATGTATAGATATTTTTTTTTTTTTTTTTTTCTCCTTTTAGATCTTGCAATCAGTCACATGGACTATAAGCAGATGTGGTGTTCCGTCTGTAACAGGTAGATTTATAGCTCCTCGCTCTTAAAAAGTCAGTCCTGTCTGACTATCTTGGTCAAATATATACGTCTTTTCTTTAATCGGCGTAAGTTTTCAGGTATTGTAAAGCGAATTTATTTGGGTGCCTGTGTAGTCGTGATTTGTATTTGTTGCTGTAGTCATCAAAATCCTTAACCATATATCAAATAGTTTGTGGATCTCAGTTGTTTTTATAAACCATGGTGCATCCGAAAGTTGTTTCAATATATAGTTTTGAACTCGTTGTATTGTCATTATGTTGGAGTCACTAGCAGAGCCCCATAGTTGTATCCCATATGTCCAGATTGGCATATATTGTGTAGATATAATAATAAAATTTTATCTTTATAGTTCAAGACGACAATTATCTCGTTTTATAACTTCTTTAGAATGTCAAATATTATTACTTAGGTATAGTTATTATTAGATCTCACGTCCGGATTCTTGAATAAAATCAAACTGATAGTAATTTAAAAAAAACTAGTCGTATTACAGCTCCGCCATACCTATTCACCTTTTTACCATGTTGTATTGTCAAATCAATAAGGTCAGTGCCACAAGTCAGAAAAACAAGGTAAAAACTATGTAAACAGTGATGAAATGTCTTGTCTAATTTTCGATAGTAATAGGCCGACAAAGTAATCCAGTTTTAGCGATTATACACTTTAAGGAAAACTGACCCTGCTATACATATATTAAATTTTGATCATCATTTAATAGTTAGTTATATATTCATAAAATTTAAAGATTACTACCTGCCAGTTTCCTGCGAAGTCGTCTTTGTTTTTAGACAAACAGGTACACTTTCCTGTTTATAATAGTAGAATAGAATAGAAATCCTTTATTCAAATTAACATAATTTAAGCACTTTCGAATAGTCAGAGTTAATAATAACTCTCCTGAACAGTTCACAAAACATCACTTAGTCCTAAGGTAAACAGAGCTTGTTTTATTGGTACTAGACCACTGACATCAATACTTAGTTATTTTTTTGTAAATATATACATAATATACACAGAAAACACCCAGAATACTGGTCTGGGTGTCTGGTTGTTGGGGGTGGTGGTAAATCAAACGATCAAACTCATGGATAAATTGTTAACGTGCGAGATATTTAGCCTGTGAACATAGTTATTTTATGTTAAAAAAAGGTCGTATAATGTTACTGTGGATCTCAAATAAAGTTGACGTAATATGATTTCAAATTGTCCGAATCGATGATTTCTTCATATTTTTTTTCTCATAATTCATATTATAGATATATTACGATTCTTTCTCTAATAAAGTCATAATAAATACTAATATTATAAATGAAGTTGATATAAGAGAGTCGAGAAAGTGATGGCCTTAATACATAGTGATTTACTGCCCCAACATAAAATGGAAGATTGTCAGATCAATAAAAAATATATTTTATTTCTGACAGTGGTAAACACCGATAACAAACAAACATTTAATACACTTATATAAAATACACTCCTTCTCTGTTGGGATTCCTTGTAGTAAAAAATGCGTTCCTAAAAGGATATGATACTTTTCAATAATATTTACAATAAAATAGTTATTTTATTTAACAAAAAATTATATACATTATAAATAAATAGATGGATACTCCTCTACCGGCCTATCACAATGGAGACACATATCCACAAAATCCATTTATGTCATGTTCAAGCACTGTTGCCAATAACGATTCATTAAGTCATATCTATGGTAGTTCACGCGAGAAAGTGAGTGTGCTTCATCTGGATAGCTCTGTGGAGAAACAAATATCCATTAGAATATGTTCATTACAAGAAAAAATGGTAATTAGTGAAGTTTTTCTGTCTATTAGAAATAGTTTGTCGTGACTATCAATGTCAGACAGACAGACTGACAGTCTTTTACTGTTACTAAATTTAGAAAGCTGAAGAAATACTAAAATTATAAACCTTCTTCTTGAATCAGTCTATATATTGCTAAAAACTGCATTAAAATCCGTTGCGTAGTATAAGGGATCCAAGCGAACATAAAAAAGAAAGAGATTTTATTTTGTACTATGTAAACAAGCAAAGTTAATTGCAAGTAATGACAATGTTTTGTGTATTTACAATGTGTACTTACCTCTCTCAACGTTTCAACTAGGTTGCACTAGCCGTGGTCACGAGTTGACCAGTCAGCTTTAAAAAGGTAAATACCTTTATTTGCCATAAAATTATTCGTGTTAAGACCCGGTTAATAATTTAAATAATGTATATTAAACACAAAAGTTTAAAATTAACTTTCCAAAGCATGTCTGGAAGAGACTGCATTAGCAATTAGACCGCCGTTTGTATTTGGTTTATTTATAATGTTGAATATCCTTCCTATATTGATGCCACAAAGTGTTATAATTGTCCGATCTATCCCCCGTCCAATTCAAACGGGGATCGTAATTACAACGCCCCCAGACTAAAGTCGTATGCGTCAGGCGGAAGTTAGCCTTCAGCCGCGCCATAAGTACTTCCGCGGGTTTGGAGTGCCATGTGCATATGCTCGCCCCCTATCGTCCGGTGAAGCTGTAAAGGCCAGCTGCGTACAATAGCATTAGAGTAGTCCGAAAAAAAAAATGTTATAAATTAATGAAAAAAAAAAACTTATTTATTTACCATTTGTCTAAAAGGTATATCTAGTTCTTGAAGTGCTCGCATCAGCTTGGCTGCGTTCTGATAGTGCACATTGTCATCAGCATTGCCATGGAGTATAAAGAAGTCATGTCCTCTCAGTTTTTCAGCCAACAACGTTATGTCACCTTCGTTGTAGCCTCTCAAATTGTCTTCTGGCGTAGGCCGTCCCATAAAACGCTCCGTATACATCGTGTCTATGATAATAATAACATGCCTTTATAACTGTTATCAGGTAGAAGTTGTGGAGTTTCTTTTGTATGGATGATAATGGAATAATGCCCAGCCTGCGCTAATGAGTTACGCTAAGGGTCCACCAGTGGAGGATGATAACATGAGCATGAAGGTCAGTTAGCTTAATAATTCTTGGAGAATTTGTCAAGATAGTTTCTAGGGGGAACCGCGTGGAGTTCAACCTGACATGGCACATTGCTAGCAGTCCACATTACTAACAATCCACTTTTCCCCTGTAGTGGAGTTGTCAGAGGTATTATCTAACTAATATTATAAAGGTAGCAGTTTGTAAGTGTAGATAGATGGATATTTGTTATTCTCTCAAGGAAAAACTACTGAATAGATTTAAATAAAACTACAATAATATCGCTTATACATCCGAATAACACATAGGCTATAAATTTCATGCGGATGAAACCGCAGGCATACCTGGTCTATTACCTAACAGTGAATGCAAAACCACTCACCGGAGTATCAATCTGACATATAAATTGCTATATATGTCTGATTGAATCTCCTATACTTTTTATATATATATGCAACTGGCAGACACCAAAAAAAAAATTAATTAAATGTCAATGTATCTTTTTATATGTATATATAAACAAAATCGTAAATATGTAAATGGTAATTAATTACTGTAACTAGTTTAAACAGGTACTAATTACAAAAAAAATAATTGAATAAACTATACAATAATTTATCACTATTGAAACATATTTAAAATTAGTTATCTCGTGTTATATACATCGTAGTAGTTTAAAGTTTTTACTGTATTTTCAAAGAAAATTCTTATTATATATGCCCTAACATTGTCCTGTCCACACAGGGTCCATATTGAGACTTTACCTTAAACATTAACCACCTATAATATAATAAATAAAATGTCTTGCAATAAAGAATTGAAATTGAAAATTAACTTTCTCCGATCAGTAAAAGACATATTTAAACTGTCGTGCTTATTATTCATAATATTAATACATTAATAACGGCAAGATATTCAGTATATTTGGATTACATCACTCGATTCTCCCAAAATTGAATTTAAAAAATTATCTGTATTATTGTCAACATGTATAACATTAATTTGAAAAACATACGACTCGAGTTTCTTGTCAGTTTTTCTCATCTCGAAATTATTCCGAATTGACGGTAGATTTGACATATCATAAGTCTGTAATAGACTATACTAGACAAATATTGACACTTGCTGTTACTGTAGTCAGTTCGTGACTACGGCTAAAGCAGCCTGGTCGAAACGTCGAGAGACGTGAATACCTTTATTTAAGGGATGCAAGCTTCGACTAGTTCCAGTATATTATTATTACACCTTCGGTTCCGACTTCGGCTCCGACACTTTTAAATTGAATTTAAAAAAGCGTAACATAGCGGCGAGGACGGCCTGTGTCGACTGTTATGAACAGGTTCATACATGTATCCCGCCGACCTTAATGCACTCAATCGTCAAAGAGAAAAGAAGACTAAAAGTCGTCGAAAAGAAAAAATTCATTGTTTTGTACGCGATCTCTGGATCTAATATGATACGAGCAATGAAACTCGGCGAGATACCTGATATCAGTTGCACTGTACATCAGTTGCAACTGTGTGTCATTGTTAGATTGTGATATATATAAATATGCTAATTTTGTGATGGAAATAATATGCTAATTCTTTTTCATTGTTTGTGTTTTATTTTATAATTAAAAAAAAAAAAAAGATTAAAGTGCTTTATAAAATTATAAAAATTCTTTCTCAAACTTCTGACCCTGCCTCCGACTCCGATTTCGATTCCGATTCCGATAAATCAAATTTAAAAACTCCGACTCCGACTTAAAAGACGTTACATCCCTATTTATTTACCATAAAATTATTCGTGTTACTTACTATATGTTACTTACTATAATATAGCCACGATGTAACCAATGCCGCAGCTACACCGCATTTGAACAGATGTTCTTCGTCCTTGATTAGTGTCAACAGAGTTGCGTATCCGCCATAACTGTGGCCCCAGATGCCGACACGATTGCGGTCCAATGCTGGGTACCGGTCCAAGACTTCTCTACAAAAGAGAGTACAAATTATTTCCTAATGAATGCTACAAAAATATTCAGATCTTGCAATTATATAATAATATCATCAGGACAAATCATACATCGAGTCCCAAGGCAGAGCTTGTATTAGAAGTACTAGACAACTGATAGAAATATATAGATATTTTTTTTAAATACATACACAAATACAAACAACCGAACCGATACAAACCATCATACTAATAAATACATTTTTAGTACCGTGCGTGGAAACGAACGCACGACCGTTGAAAGTAAGGCGATGTTGTTAACAAGTTAAGGCCGAGGCCGTTAATATAATTATAAACTGTAAGAACCTGAAAATTGGATCTTTTTATAAAATTTATAATAATTTTCCTATTTCGATATTCTTACTAGAATGTCGAAATAGCAAACGGCTAGGGATTGTTTTACTTAAAGTCTAGGTTTAGAACAATGGGTATTAGAAAAACATCGACCTGTAAGTATTTGAATTTCGAATACGACAAAAAGCGAATAAGAAATATCGATGTTTCGTATTGATCGATCTAATATTATAACTTTGCATTATCATTGACCATTTTTATACATGCTATTGGTGGCTTAACATCAATGTTTCAATATTATCAAACATTAAACATCGATGTACTGTACTATTTAGACTAGAGATGATCGATGATGATAGGACTAATCATCCCTAGTGTAGTATGTAATATTATCTTGTCTGTGGTTGTAGCGAACCATATATCTATGTAGTTTAAATTTGGACCTACGTAGTCAATAAAACATTTGTATTTATTTATTTATACGTTTAAAAAGAGTTGTCTTCAAAATTAACAATTAAATGATATTTTTTTCATAATTCTTGATAATTACAAATCAATTAATAATTCTTCTTTGGTAATAGTAGTTCGTATTTATGTCATAGTAAATTTAAATAAATTATAATTTATAAGAAAGATGTGTGTCACTGGCTCACTACACTGATACACATAGTTTACGAAATTAATTACCTACTTGTACGTTTGATTAACATATTTGGGCCATTGATTGTTTACGAAAGTCGGACAGAAGTCTCATCGAGATTTTAATAACTTACGAGTAAGAAATACGTATCTACACATTAATTTTTTTGTAGTTAATTTATATGAAGTGGGAGCGAGAGTTATACCAGCTAAATCTCTCTACAATCTTCTAAAAGTTCTTGTCCTTATCCTGTTTAGAACTGCAATTAATTCTATACTAGAACGTGTATCTAAAGCTGCGTTATCGGGCTCCTACCAGATATAGCTGGGCAGTGAGAGAAACACAAGAAGTGAAGGAACTTGACGTACGTCAGAAAAGGGACCTGTTAAATCTACACCCTGATCACAAGTACTGAGAACTGTTCGGAGTTTCTCTCTCTGCCACATGGATCCGACACCCGCATGATGGATCCAAGGAATGCTAAGAAGTTCTTCTCTTCGTTAGTGCTCGCTAGGAATAGTGATGAAGATATTTTCCACTTTTGGTGTTTTAAATGAAGAATATTAATGATTGATATTTATTCATCACAGTACAAAGAACGTAACACTAGTAAAATTATAAGTGTAGTATGTATATATAAACATACCGGAGTATAACTAAATGGTCCTCCACTTCTACTGTTCCAAGTTTATTATTCAGGGAATACAATATATCTTGCCCGTTAAGTCCAGCTCCGCGGCCATCCGCTAACATATAGACTGCATCGTGGTTCGTTGTGATATATGTATGGTATCCTAAAAAAGAATCAAGTCAAGTAGTACCTACTACAGTACTGTAGTATATTATCATTAGCTATTCAATTAATTAACTTTCTAATTAAGAATTCATTCATTCTAATGTATAACCATCGATATATCACCGAGAACTATAGCTATTACTTATTATAAGGGATGAATACAAAAGAGCTAGTATAAATAAACTAGGACTCGCAACAAGCCGGTTTCACAATCGTTGGTGGGACGCTACACTAAACTATAATTTGATGGGGAGGTTTGAAAATATAAAAATATTAGGTGGGTAATAGGTAATATAACGTTTAGCGTTAAAACATACAGTTCTAAACAAATGTATAACATAAAAGGTAAACCACATACTAATATTATAAATGCAAAAGTAACTCTGTCTGTCTGTCTCGCTTTCACACCACGTATCAAATTTCATTTAAATCGGTTCAATACTTACCAAATGTAAAAGTGTCATATACTGTATTGGTATTAGGCCCAGAGTAAACATAGTATATCACGGGATATTGTACGGAGGTGCTGTTCAAATTAACACCTGGTGGTATATGAAGTCGCACTGGCGCTTGGATACCGTTCTCCAGTGGGACAGTGAATATAATGCTTTCTGGACGAGCCTTGTCAACAAGTAGATCTCGTAGTACACTGTTCGTCTCCCATGCGTAAAGAACTAGGGTGGACTATACAAAAAGAATTAGTCGTGTCAGATTACAATGAAGGCCATTGTAGCCTAATCAATAAAAATAAAAAATCATTCTAATAGAATTGAATTTACGACCTCGGGGTTGGAAGTCGGGTAGACTTCGAATCCAAAGGTCATAAGACACAAAAAATCTTTGGATCTCAATTTATATTTTTGACTAACTTCGCAGTAATTTAAACAACGTTAACAATTCAGATTAGTTCGAGTCAACGGCAATTGGCTTCCTCGACATTGGATTCTAATATATCCAGCGAAATCCTATCTGTACATCAATTGTGATAGTATAATATTATTATAATTGGGTTTGGTTCGAATACTGATTAGACTATTTGCTTTTGACAAAATTGCAATAGCATACGCTAGTGGCTACTCTATTCTCCCAAATTTGAAATTCAGTTGAATTTCTTGGCAGTTCTTATTAATTAAATCTGTATATATGAACTGGACGGTAGGGAAAAATATTAATACTAAAAATTTTATGTTCATAAGCGACTAAAATGTCCTACATGAATAAATTATTTTTGATTTGATATGATTATGAGAAAGCATCTTCTTTCAAATATGCAAGTGAATAATTATTCGTTGTATGGTATACCTAGTACTATAGCAGTCAGAAATTTCTAGAAAAACACATAAGTAACGCTTCAAATCCCGATAGTCGAGGTTATTATTTTTAATCTGACCCATCCTCAGAAATAATATATGCGCGTCTTGATACTCACCGCATTAGTTGCCAATGGGTTAACTATATAGGTGGCAGAGGGCTCGTTAGGTGAAGAGCAAGTGACCGACAGGTATTTGCCGCCGACACTAGCGGTAGCCGTAGCCCAAGTGCAGGGTCCACCTTCAGGCAACGTAATTAAACAGCTAATGCACCCGTCCATTGCTCCACCGCGGCGGACCTCTGATCGCCACTGGGTGCCGGGAACCGTGCGAGTGTAATAACTGCATATCACAAAAATAGGTGTTATAGAATAGCATATTACGATATAAGTGCGATATGTTGGTTTATAACACACGAGATCGAAATTTAGCCCGAGCCGGAGGTGCGGGCGTACAAGAACCGAGTGTGTAATATACGCACGTAGGTATATCATAACAGGCTTTTCAACACACTTGCGAGGAAACAGAATAATAAATTATGATATCATATTGTGATCATTTTAGCACTTTTCTGTCGTATTACAGTTTTGTGGCATTTACGATTAGAGATCAGTTTCGTAGAGAATCAGCTAATGTTATTTTTTTGTGTTTTAGGCTTTCAATAAATTTCAAAAAGTAGAAACGACAACAAGAAGAAAAATTATACAATATGGAAGTAGGTATTTTTAATTTTTCACATTCAGTTTATTTGCAATTTATTTTAAAACTATCAGTGCCCGCGGTTTTACCCGCGTTAAATTTCAATATAAAATATAGTCGTGTAGTGTTACCTATATGTGTTATTCAGATGCACAAGTGCATATTATTGTAAAGTTTCAGCAAAATCCGTTCAATAGTTTAGCGTGAAAGAGTAACAAACATTCGTACTCACAAACTTTCGCGTTTATAATATTATTAAGATGTCACATCTCTGGATACAATGTTTTCACATAACGTATTAGGATACTCACAAGTAAGGCCCAGCCTCATCCAATCCAACGAAGTTATTGACAGTGGTCAATCCAGGCGTTATTGAATTCGATATAATCTCGTTGCCGACTCTCAAGCTGAGGTATAGATGTTGCCATATCCTGCCGTCTATTTGTGGTTCAGACCAGCGGGTGGATACGTAATATGAACCATCGCTGCTGAATCGAGGCAACGCAATGGGAACCCAGCCATTTGGTTGTTCTCTCTGTTCATCCTGGATTTACCAATTGTTACATATTAATAGGCCGGACATAAATTACATCTTATTATATATATACAATTAATACATTATTATTGTACGACCATCAAAAAAGACAATTATAGGAATTTATACATTTAACAATTTAAAAATAAACTATTTAAAGAATTAATCAATAAATGTAATTATTCCTTAAACGATAATGTATGTATGTAATGGATTGTATTTTTTTCATTTAGATTCAGTATCGTATTGTAATTGTCAGAATAAAAATAATAAATAACCCTGGACAATTACACAGCGCCATCTAGTACCACTGTTTAATGGGTACTAGACAACTGATATAAATACTTAGATTTTTTTTGTAAATATATATTTACAAAAAAAATTGAAGGACGTGCCGAGCGAGGAATCGAACCCGCGACCATTGGAAATGAAGCGGTGTGCTAGACCACCAAGCCCGTCGCCTGTAAAATATAAATAAATGTATAAATTGAATAATAATAAATAGTAATCACATACCACGTATGTACCATTATCAATATTATAAATTCTTAGAATGGTGAAATTCTGTCGCCTGTTAAGCCAGTGGACAGCGATTTCGTTGTCGGATGGCCAAGTTACTCCGCCCAGGATGTGGTCAGCGGTCACCTCTGCAGGAGCTTCCAACGTCAAGAAATTGCGGTTATTCTCTTCAACCAGAGACGTGAGATTAACTACGCGTAGTTTAGCTGATGGATTTTCGCGTCCGACCTAAAACAATCATACAGTATTATATTAGTTACTAGGTGTCCAGGTAAACCTTGTTTCATTACATAATATATAATAAACTCTGTCTCTTTGTATACTTAAATCTCTAAAACTACGCAACAGATTTTGAAGTGTTTTTTTTTTAATAGATAGAGTGATTTTAGAGGAAGGTTTACATACATAAAACATGTACACCCGAGGGAAGCCGGAGCGAGTAGCTAGTTATCATATAAATTAGGATGAAAATTTTTCCGAAAAAAAAAGAAAAAGAAAATTATTCATTAGTCAAAAGATATAAAATTTATAATCCTTTAAAAACTTCAATAAAATGTACCTTAGGGTATTTCAGATGATACAGTTCAGGGTATAGGTCGTCTGGATCCGATGTGTTCGTGTAGTGATACCACGAATATGTTTCAACCTCCGTGTCGTTGAATGTAGCAAAAGCCAAATAAGAACCTTGCGTCGAAAACCACGTAGCCTGTCCCGTATACATCACATCCTCTATAACAGATTATATATACATGTACACATATAGTGGGAACCTGTTGTACATAAGCACCTACGCTCGCATAACCTAGTAGGTTGGGGCCTTCCCCCAATTTAGTAATGGTTTAATTTAGTTATGGATTGTTAGTAATGGGAACTAGTAATCCCCATTGCCAAGAATGTATTATGTTAGGTCGGCCTCCACGCGGTTCCTCCTGGAAACATCCAGTAGGTTATTTCTAACCGACAAAAAAAGGAGAAGGTTCTAAACTATGTCAGCCGATTTCGATGATGGTTACATGCATTTTTGCTTCTTTTCTTTCATTCTTGCGTAAAGTTTATCCAAGATCCCATATAAACATCAAGAACTGACCAATAGTATTATTTATGCTAGTAATGCAATTGAAATCGTTTTCTTCGTGACCTGAACACGGTATTATTCTAATTCTATTAAATACCTTTATTTAATTAAGAAGTTAGCTATTCGTTATAGAGTATGAGATATGGCAGTAAAATTATGGAAGACATGCCTTCTTCTTAACCCTTAAGAATTTAGTCTTAACATAGTTTATAGCTATATATTTACGGAGCGTACCTAACAATGTATCTATCATTCATAAGTACTAATATTAAAAATATGAAAGTGCCTACCTGTCTGTTTGTTACCTTTTCACGACTAAATAGATTATAATGAAATTTGATATGACGATAGCTTCTATTACGAGGAGAATTATCTAAAAAAATAATCTGGAAAAAGATGAAAGTATGTGGGGCCCACGCCCGGGGGGCAATTTGATTGTTAAGGAGGACAATTCGAAGATAGATACTTTATTAATTTCAGTTTATCATTACATGTTTTGAAAATATACCTACTTTTTCATTATTTTTAACATTTTCCTAGGGATTTGACAGCCTCGGTGGTCTAGTGGTTTAAGGTCGTGGGTTCGATTCCTCGCACGGTACAAACATTTGAATTCATGAGTATGTTTGTATCGGTCTGGGCGTTTTCTATGTATAATATGTATTTATTTGCAAAAAAAATGTAGCCATGTATTTATATCAGTTATCTAGTATCCATAACACAATCTCTGCTTAGCTTGGGACTAGTAGGCGCTGGGTGAATTGTCCTGACATATTATATTATATCTATATTAATAATTTCGTCAAGGAGTACGGTAGACTCGAATGTAACCTTATGTGAATAACAAAACATAAAAAAATATTGATTTCGAATCGACAACATTATTCGCAAAATTCAGATTATGGAGTATTTCGTTCAATTCTAATGACACTGACAAACAAACCGCAGTCGCCATTTTTCATTTCACTAGCTAACAACCAATGGACACTTCGCGTGCGTTTGCGCAATTAGGTCACAAAGAACAAAACCACAGATAACATAGTGTAAAACGAAAGATCTTGCCGGAAACATGACGTTGACGTTTCCGAAAATATTGTTTTTTGACACTTTTTTATGATAAAATCGTGTATCGTATATCGTGTGTATGTGTTTTTTCTTTAAACCTGAAATTGGCCGATTGCGAGACAATTATGGCGATTTTTTTTATTAATTTGTTTTACGGCTTTAGGTACAAGTCCTTTTTAGCCCAACTTAAAATTTTACAATATAAATTACAAAAATTAAAGTCAATGTCCAATGTCAAATAATAATAAATGTTGTTTCTCTTTTCTGTTGAACTTATTAAAAAAAAACTTAATAACAATCACAATTTCTTCACATTTTATTATTACACAAGTTGCCAGGTATTTGCATTTTTTAAATAATGTTGTGGTGTGGCACTATCCGAAATTAAATTATTTACCCATTTTTGTGGTTATACAGTAATAATGTGTGATTACACACATATGCCGAAAATCGTAAGTATTTCATAAAATATTTCATTGCCTTTGTTTGGTCTTTTGTTTGATGATACCTGTATCATTTTGTAAACATGCGAATCTCCTTGCATTTGGTAAACATTGTCACAATTGTGGAAAGTGGGAGCAGCGAAGGGCTCTTCGTAAAGATGGTGAGTAGTATTTTAGTAAGTCTGGATGTAGGCAGATTGTGTTTTTAAGTGAATTTTGTTCTATGTTTTCTTTTTAAAATGAATAAAATAAGAACTTATTTACTTCCAGATGACGATCAAAAATGGGAAAGATGTTCGGATTAAACAATTGGTTTTAAATATCTGCCAAATTAGAGAGTGCTTTAAACAAAGAGGTTTACAGAGAATAAATCTTAAAAGTTATATGTTTTGTTAATTTATTTTGAATGTTAATTTAAAATAAAAATTAATAATTTTGCACTTTTTATTTACTATATTTATTCAACACAGTGAACGTAGCTATACGAATCTATGCCTTGCTTACCTTGAATATGCCTTGAGAACCGATGACTACAGAAATATCTACCCACATTTCACCCGAGCGAAGCCGGGTTTTCATGTAGTTATATTATATTATTATATTATTTTTCTCACTAAAACCTTTACCTTATTTAAGTTTCTTAAGTGAACGTTTCAATTTTTTATTGTTATAAATTATGTCATTTAATAAAGGCTATAGTGGGGCATGGCACTAAAGAGGTTGGGAAAGTGTGTTACAATATGTAAATATACAGTAAAATAGAATAATGGCGTACCCTCATACACCCAGTCGGTGTGACCGTTGTATATAATTCCCACGATGCCGTCATCTGTAAGCTGTATAGCTTCTCTACTATTCTCAGGGAGGTAATACACGTTGTTGTTCAGTACATACGCGAGTGAGTGCTCCCTGCCGAATATGCAAAGCTGCAAAGCCTGATGGTCGGCTATTTGGAATATGTCTCTGAAAAAAAAAAGCAAAATATCCTGTACTATCTGACTCGAGCATAGTCTGCGTAACATTTTGCCCGTTTTACATTTTTCATTGCAGCTCCTATTGGTAGTAGCGTGATATTATATAGCCTTAGCTTTCCTTGAATAGCTTTCTTCGATACATGGTGTAGTGTATGTGGAAACACTAGCAGTTTATTATCTATCGTCTCGAGCCGAGCGTACACGGACCGCCGTGCGCAAGAGGGAAGGGATTCCCTGCGCAAGCGCCGCGGAGTAAAGACGTGGAGCTATGGCTAACGAGCCGATATTACGTCGATAACAACTTACATACAAGAAGACATAAATAACAAATAAGTGAACACTATATGTGGCGACGAGGCAAAATGGATATAAATAAAGATAAGTACAAAATCATTTAATAAGATATACATATACCTACGGGTACGGAGTAATTACAAATTTAGAAGGATTATGGTGGGGCCGCACGGGGAGCGAATTATATAGACCTATATAGAAAAAACAATAGCTGGGTAACATCGGTTTACGATCGATTTGCGCCAAGTAAGTAGGTACCTAATTATAAATTGTACTTGCTATACCTATAGTGTCTCTAGCTGGTAGGAATAGTCGTATTAATAATCATTGTAGTAATATGTTTACGTATATCCGTGATTTATTATTTTTAATGTATGATAATGGTGTACTGCCTGCGCTGGCGTGGCACTGATGGAGTATGGTAGAATGAGCGGGAGGGATAGGATCGGTTGGCCCGTCGTGGTGGGTTCGTGTTAATTTGTCGCGATTGTTTCTGGGGGGAACCGCGTGGAGGTCCCTCTGGCGTGATACATTGTTAGCAGTGGGATTATTTTAACAATCCCATTCCCCCTTCCGTATTTCCGTGTTGAAATAAAAAATCGGTAATGATTGTAGTTGCCGCTGCATGTTCGTTTCATGAGACGGTGACGGTGAGATGTTTAGTGGGACATCATATTACGTGATGCAATAGACCTGTGGGTATGAAGTATAATAGAGCACTGTGCGGGCGACACGTTTGTTTTGCTTTATCTTTTCTAGGTGTCGATGCACTTTAATTACTTTTGGCAATAGGGCCGCCTTATTGTATTTATACAGAGGTGGTGACTAGTGTTCAAATGTCACTATTTTCTTTTAGAGTATTGCTGCAAATGGACGTGGTCTAAAGTTCCTCTTTCTAACTGTAATGATCACATGATAACTTAATATTACATTTTGTACGGGATAATATTACGATGTTGTCGGGTGATACGATATTATTACAAATGACGGTGAGCTGACAATTGTACCTGCATTATATGTAGTACTGATGTTGGGTGTTATATACAAAACAACAATAGTAAAATCTAAGGTGGGGTGACACACACGGTTTGAGCAGTGCTTGGTGGACAATATTTATATTGATTGCAAGTGTTGAAGTATCTGGGTAACAATGTCCCATACATTTCGATGCGGATGACTTGTTCGGAATAACTGCAGACTATTTTATTCTGGTATTCGAGCAGAGCCGCGAAGTAGTGTGGTTAAAATGTTTTTATTTGGATTGGATTTGGCTTTTGGATTATATAATTTATAAATAATAATTATTAGTGAGCATTCCAATGGATGCCGGTGGGAATTGCAATTGTTTTGCATAGGAAGGTTTTAAATGTAGATTAATTATTAGTTTGATATATTATGTTGGGGTCTACTATACATGTTGTGTAGTGCAAGGTGCCTATCTACTTGTCTGGCATATTTTTAACAATTTGTGCTTTGTGTTAAAATGAAGCGCGCATCTACACTTGCGACCTAGAAGGCAATCTTTTGGTTTGGTGAATTTAGTGTCTAATGAATTTGTTGAAGAAAAACAAAAAACAACGTAGTCAAGAGGTTGAGATGCCGACTATTATATTGCGAGGAAGTGTGTCGCTAGTTATGGTCGGATGTAAGGTACAGGAGTGCTGTTTCTGTATGCGGTGTGTGGTTTCTATAGTTAGTAACACTGGAACGAGAAAAAGGATACCTAATTATGTATATAGAATTATTCTATTATTTTTACAGCAATGACAGTGATTATCTTTTAATAATAAGCTATAGTATAGTACAGTGGTGGTGAGTATGTCTTTATGGAATCATATTTAAGATTCTCTCTAATTTAAAAATACCAGTAAATTAGAAATTGCACAATAATGGTTACATGAAATAGAACTACTATTAAGTTCTGAATTATTGTACCTACTCGCCTAATGCATTATGCGGATGAGTGAAGGGGTTATTAGAGTGGAAAAAAAAATGTTTTTTATATTCTTTGAAGTTTCGGGAACATGGAATAGAATATGAATATTCTTTATTTAAAGAAGCTTGAATAAATAATAGGAATAATAGCCTTAATTGCATTAATGTACCGCATTTAGTAGCTGTGGAATGGAGTTAGAATTTGTTTTGTGATCACATGCAGACAGCGCTGACAGCTGTTTTATATGAATGTGACGGGGATGTTGGAGCGATGGGGAGTCATTTTTAATTGACAGTTAATCCAGTTGCGGCTGGAGTTGTGTAGTGTCGCGATACGCGAAATAAGTGTATTAATGTGGTTTTGAGTTTTGAGATAGCGAATAGGAAATGATACCTGCTTCATTGTAGTAGTTGTAAAATATATACATGTATTTGTTTATCGTCATAGTACTGGTGTTGGTCGCTCTCTAAATACTTTGGCCGCATTGCAGGGTAGCTTAGACAAATTAGCGTGTTTTAACTTTTACATACGTACTACAGTGCAACCTCGATAAAACAATTCGAAAAAAAACAAATATATATATATAGTATATCAAGTAATTCGTTCAACTGAGATTTATTATGTTGAAGGTACATTGGTCTAAACTTCGTTATAAAAAGGTAAAAAACCTGTCTAAGCCATTTCACCTTGAATCTTTAACAATAGTGACGAGCAGCAGTGTTTACAAAATTTTACATTACTTTCCATCGAACACCAATTATTGGTCTACGAACAAAAGTACGTCGAAACATGTCCTGACATGAATCACATTATAAGAGATAAGTAGAGTTAGAGTCATACCATTGGTGGGAACATTATATAAAGGTTTTGGGTTAAGAAAATTCCTTATAAAGAGGTGTTGTTCCAAATTAAAAAAAATAATAATAATGTCACAATGTAAATGTATATTTTACATCGATTCTTATGGAAAATCCAAGGGATCACAAAGAATTAGTTAAATCAAGGAAGTCGTTATATACGAGGTATATTATTGTGAATGAGGTGCGTTATATTATGGCTGCACAATTATTATTATTATTACTAGATAATAATGTAAACCATGATGCATGATAGTAACAATTACTAACGATACATTATTGGAAAAAAAAAATAGTTCTGAGGATACTATTAGTATTCCTATACTTTAGATTAGAATTATTTACTGGACATTCTTGTGGAGTAAATAAATCTGAAATATGTTTAATATTAGTAGTCATAAATGTATATATTGTGAAAATTAAATGGATAAGAGTGGCGTTTAATTGTGCTATAATTATAAAATTTGGTGTTTTGCAGGAGTTCATGATTTGCTTATAAAGTGACTATTGGCTCAGATGACCTTAAAGAAATTAGCAAAGGAAGAAAAACTATGAGCATAATACTAATAACCAATACTTAAAGAGGATGAATTAAGAAGTTCAATGGAGTTATAATGACGGTGACAATGGCATTGATATTCTAAAAAAGGAGCTACAGAGGTAAGGTAGACTGGGCCGTCAAGCATTAAATTGCGTATTGACGGACAGGTTGCATTAAATTGCGTTGGCTGGGCCATCAGGCATTAAATTGCGAACTGATGGACAGATTGCATTAAATTGCGTTGGCTGGGCCATCAGGCACTAAATTGCGAACTGATGGACAGATTGCATTAAATTGCGTTGGCTGGGCCATCAGGCATTAAATTGCGAACTGATGGACAGATTGCATTAAATTGCGTTGGCTGGGCCATCAGGCATTAAATTGCGAACTGATGGACAGATTGCATTAAATTGCGTTGGACTGGGCCGTCAAGCATTAAATTGCGTATTGGCGGACAGGTTGCATTAAATTGCGTTGGCTGGGTCGTTAAGCATTAAATTGCGTATTAACGTCCAGTTTGTGTTAAATTGTCTTTGGCGGGGTCATCAAGCATTGTATTGTGTATTGATGAATGGTGTCTTATTCATTAAAGTGTAAATTGATAGAATGTTGCATTAAATTGCGGTTGAATATAAGTAATAAAAAATTGCCAGTTTTAATGCATATTAATTATTGGAGTGAAATGGAGCGGATTCAGTAAAATATAATTAATCAAAAGTCATAGGACACAAATTAATTTTGGTCGAAAATATAATTTCTATAACTAATATAATTGACGATTGCTGGAGTACGTAGAGTCGCTGTGGTGATATATGTGGTATATGTCGATCGCTCAAAGACTGGTCTGACAACCTTTCCTAATATTTTAGCACTGAATTAATGCAGGTGATAAGAGAGATAATTTTGGTACGATGAAGAATGGTTATAGTTATACCCAATTAATACTACATGGACTGATATCAGATATGTAGACAGAATATAGTGGAAAGTCGTTTGCAATTGTTGATGCAACTCTTGATATAATAATAATATTCTGGTATACCACCACAGGACCCATCAATATTTTAAGGAATGATAATAATAAATAGTGGGGAGTTTTGAAGAAATTCCAGATTATGTTTTAGATAATCAGTTTTCAAATGTACATGATAAAGAAAATACTACATGTAAATAACACATTGCATGAGACAGATAGAACGGAAAAAAATATAAGTATTTACCTTAAACCTACAAAATATAAAGTAGTGACTATAATGATAGAGATATTCTGGTCATAAACATACAACATTTTTTCAGAAGTGCTTTATACTAATCTTACATAATATTACACAATAACAAAGAGGAATAAGAGGCATTCGGCTTATGTGTGGCAGTATAGTGTCAAAATGAGTCCACCATCGGTGTAACGTAGCACACATGTCTCCAAGGAACAAATACCTAACAGAGTGGATTGATTCATGCTTGAAAAGAAAATAAACTTAAAAAGGAGAGAGATGTAGTGTATGTGGAAACACTAGCAGTTTATTATCTATCGTCTCGAGCCGAGCGTACACGGACCGCCGTGCGCAAGAGGGAAGGGATTCCCTGCGCAAGCGCCGCGGAGTAAAGACGTGGAGCTATGGCTAACGAGCCGATATTACGTCGATAACAACTTACATACAAGAAGACATAAATAACAAATAAGTGAACACTATACATGGGATATACAATACCTAAAGAATTTTCTAAATCGGATAAATACCATAGTATCCAGAAAATATAACCTCACAAACTTTACTTTTTTTATAATATTAGTATACTTATTTTAGGGAAAATACTGTATGTGTGGAAGCGCGAAGAAAGAAAGATCAGTCAAGTGCCGATTAAGGTTTCCCTGGGTTCCTTATCACGTACCAATTTCCAGGTGATGTTTTCACTTTTTACCACTTAATTCTTACTTAATAACACTTATTATTTTGATTAAACAAGTACGAAAGAAATAACTAAAATTACATAGTTCCGAAAGAAATAAAAAAGCTATTAAGTATTAATAAAAATATTATTATTTAACCGGATAACTTGTACGGCTACTAAACGCCTCTTTTTTTTCTAAGTATGTATATTATTTATGTAGATATTGCATTAAGTAAGATAAAGATTGTATGAGTATATTTTTAAAATCGTACATAAGCACCTACGCACGCTTTAAATCGAGAACAACTAATAAGAATATACTGATAAATGAACTGTGTGAAATCAGTAAAAAGTGTTATTGACAGTAAATATTTAAACAAATATTTCTACGTCTGTTTAACAAAGAATACATTTAAAAAAGTCGGATACGTCGGTAACTTCGTCTCTCCTACTTCACCAAACAAGCAGCTTGATTTCTAAGCTATATTCCAGCTGTAAGTTGAGATTAGGCAGTGAAAATAAAGAACATGGATGCATGCATATTCATAACAGCTCATAGACATGCTTAAAACTTATGTATATAGACGACGATTACCACTTACCATCCGATAGGCCGTAAGCTTGTTAGTCATTCCAATTACATAAATAAAATATTAAACTATTTAGAAAGACAACAATTAGCAACTTACTGTGTATTTATATTATACAGCTCATACTTGGCCGTAAATGAATAACGGTAGACCTAAAAATTGAAAAAAGATTATTACAATCGATATACAAAAGTAAATTGACACTCGTACATAAAAATAATTAAATAATTAGTTAGTTCACCAGATACTTATTTATTTCAATACAACCCGTAGTAGATAGTAATTGTTTTATTTATTTTTCATTATATTAATACGTGAAGCAAAAACTAAGTATCTACTAGGTACTTTTTAAAAATTGCACGGATTTTGAAGTATGAAATTTCGAACTCTATTTATAGAAAAGGAGTTCATAGTGCAATCTTTTTTAAATATGCATATAAAATACAGTAAATAAAAAGTATATAGTTCTTTGACAATAAACCCTTAATAAAGTTTATTTCACTTATAATTTAAATGAATTAATGGTCGCATTTTGAACATTGGCTGACTACCAGTTTAAAATTATTACAAAATGTTACATTGGGCGTCGTATTAGGCCAATTTGCATTACAATTCCCAGATGATATAAAACGATTATATATCTAGAATTGTAGTTTGGAGGACTGCAATAGGCTGTCGATAATGACGATATACTTCATATTTTTTAAATGCATACATTACTTCCGATCCAATCTATTTGATGACACAAATACAAAATATTTTTTTTACTCTTTATATCATTAATAAAGATGGGTTTTACATTAGATCGTTACACAAATTTCATATTCCTTACTAACTTCTCCCCCCGTCCTTGTCACAGCTGATAACATTTGTAAGTAACCTAACCTAGTGTGACGTCACATATTGCCACTGCCACTGTTTTAATTTTTCATTAATAATCCATATAGGTACACAAATTGTTTATATTAGAATTTAAATCTTCTCTCCCAAAGGGAAGGGAAGTGTCAGTAATAGGGACTTTAGAGGACCCCATTGCTAGCAATGTACCACGTCAGGTGGTACATTGCTAGTAGATAATGGAGTTCGGTACTGGGGTCGGGTAACTGAACACACCTCATGCTCAACTTATAATTCTCCACTGATGCGCCGCCAGTATACACCTACCGTTAGAAAAGGTGGGTGCACATTTTGTCATCCATTAAAGAAACCCCTCCGTCCCTTCATAACTTATGACACAATTTAAATTTATGTAACTTATAAATTTACAAATAAAAGTTAATTATTAAATTAAGTATATTATATGTATCTACTCACTTGTTGTACATCAGAAGCAGCCAAAATGTAATCTCTGTCAGCTGACAATACAGGCCGAGATGTGTTTAGTAGTGTCTGTAAATTATTAAATTAAATTATTTTACAAAAGCAAATATGGCTACAGAATTGATTAAATTAATATATGTCACCAGAGCAAAACTTTCACTTGAAAACAGATATCGTTTTTTACTTTATTCTTTACTATAATACTTACATACACTTTCTTAAAATTCGATATCTATTCTTAAACCATTACACCTTTTAGTAGGTATTTATATATTTTTAAGAAACCTATTTCAACCTTTCATGTATTATATCTCTATCTAATGTATAGCCTAATATTCTGTGATTACTTACAGTACAAGTCCCTACGGATTGTGAAAGTTGAAATTTTAAAACAGTAATTCTATATAGGACCTTTTAAGAAAATGTTAATTACAAGCATTAGGTACAAACCAATAATTCTGGTTCAACAAGATGGGAGCTGTTAAGAGTCTCTACATTAAACACGAAGATTCCGGAGTTTTCATCATTTGAGGAAATGGTATATGTAAACTCCGTATCTGTAACAATGTTAAATTTTAATATTCAAAGATAACAAACAATGAAATTCAATATTTAGCAAAGATATAGGTAGGCCTACCTAAGTACATTATTATAATACTTATGTACTTATGTAGCACTTTAAGAAAAAAAAAACATTCTGAATTCAAAAAAATATCTCAAAAATAACTTATGTATAATTTTTATCATAAGTAGATATGGTACCGCAGAATGCTGGACGTACTGTCGATAACCTCGGTGGTCTATTAAAGAACTATATAGTACAAACCTGATATCCATGTTCCATTGAAACCCCTCTGTGCAAAACTCCCGCTCACGAACTCCCTGAGAGTGAATGGATCCTGAGCGACAGTTGCAACCAGCAGCACCGTCAAAATCAAATAAGGTGCGCCTCCCACCTTGTTTTAACACATGTAGTTTTATTAATTTTGTTATACTACTTCACCAAGTAAATAGTGGTAAAACTTATAAACTAACTTTGGAATAGGACGTGATAAGTGATACAAGACTTACTTTCTTTTAGAAATGCGTATGGGAACGCAGAGATATGAACATAATCGTGAAAAGTGCCTTGTTTTTATTATGATGCTCGTAAGCGGTGCCATTACGGAGGAGTAAGATGTCATTTTTCTTATCCTGTGATTTTGCTGTCTAATCTCACTATACAATAGTAAATCAGCTTTCAAAGCAAGCTGCTCGGCGGCTGATATAGGTGAGATTGAGATCTACAAAATTTATCTTCGCTGATTTTCTCTAACAACATATGCATGTGGTTTTCAAAAAGACCATGCAAAAATTTCTTAAAGGTCGTCAACATGCATTGGCAGCTCATGTATTTCAGGAAATTATAGACTATGATAACCGTTTACCATTAGATTAACTATATCTTTTTTTATTAACACACGTATTAATACAATGGGTACGTTCCTCAAAAAATTACTGCATATCAAAATTAGAGTTGACAGTTACAAATGCATTTGCCCACTATTGTATATTCCTTTATTTTTGTTTTTCTGTCTTTATACACACTAATTGCATAATCTATGCGTATATACCTACGTATCTTTTATCATTGTATGTAGATATTAAATTCTTAAGCCCAGTCAATAGAATGGTTAGATTATCATTATAAATTACGACAATTAAACGACATTATGTATATCATTCCATTATTCGATATTAACTATGCCTAATCTTTATAACATCGTCTAAACACGCTAGCTAGAATAACTAATAGGTACGCTTCAATTTTAGTATCTACTAAATATACGTACCAAACAAGTGATTAATTTTACAAAATAAATTATCCATTATTATGAATTATTTCATTACACAGTCATAAAGCAAATAAAAATCAAATGGGATCACTACGTAGGTACCTACGTTACAAGTGAATACATTTTTCTATAATTTTATAGTTAGTAAAGAGAATTTTTAATATCTTTCATTTAGAATGGTAATAAGTGATCATAGAGACAACAGAATATTAATAAAAGTATGTCAAGTTATTAACGTTTAAGAATTCTTAAAACTCATTGTAAATCATTCACTTTTCTCTTGGCGAATTTTTACCTCAAACTTAGTTATGGATAAGGTAAATCTCAGATTAACACATACACAATGATGGTACCTAGTACCTGATATTACATATCAGTCAGTTCTAAATATTTCTGAACATCGTTTCTGTTGAAAAATATACCAACTAATCATGAAATATTTATTCCAACCTACAGTAGTTCCACAACAAACATTATATAAAGTTGCGCAAATTGCCCATTATAAAATAATAAACAAATGTTATAACAATCAGTAACGGTGGAGGTGAAAAAGGACAAAACTGCCTTATTTCGCGCTCGACGCTATCTAGAGAGCGATCTACGATTTAGAATCCAGATAATACCATTCCCCACTGCTCCTATATTGACCCTGATTTTAGAGTCGTGTAACACTAGGATAAATCAATATTTTGAGTACTTACCATTTTATTTAGCAGAAATCACCAACGACGGTCGGCGATTATAATTCACTACTGCTACTAGCCTTAAACTATCACAACAATAATCTTATCCCGATAATAAAATTATCAGCTTACAGATTATACTTTGTAGATAAAATAATTACATATACAAATTCTTTGGATTATAATAACAGCATTTACGATACAGATAAATGATTTGCATAATATACTCACGACAATTTAAACTAATAGGTACTCTCAGATAAGGAGTTGTAGACTATAGGAATAATAATAATTTAAGTAAGTGCCATCGCGGTGGATATCCACGTTGCGAACCAACTATGGCGCTCAACTTACAAAGTCACATAACTTACAAGGAGTAGAACCGCCCTAGCACGAAGGCAGCTCGGTGGCGTACTCATTTGATGTGAGGTCTAACGTGACACCGAGGTGTTTTGTGCCAGAAACCCATGGGTTTGTTGAGTGTGTCATAGGGTCATGTTCCCTGCTAAAGTAAACTGCTGCACTTTTTTTTTCAGGATTAACTTCAATGCGCAACCGACGGGACCACTCGCCTAGTATGAGATCGGCTTTTTGAAGCTGTTTGGTATATTGTTGGCAGGACTTGGCAGATGTAAACAGAGCTTTGTCATTTGCGAAGAGTGATGTCAGAAAACTCTGTGTACAGTACAGCATCGAGGAGAATGCGTCAAGTGTATTTTGTTTTGCGGTTTTACTTATTAGTAATTTATTTGTTCACCAGCGCAACGAAATGACTTAAAGATTAATTAATACGAAATACTTGCATACAAAGTAGTCATTTTTAAACTTGACGCTTACTTATGTTTTAGTCGTTGATTAAATATAAATAAGTTTTTTTTTCTTTTTCGGATTACTCTAATGCTGTTGGCCGCAGCTGGCCTTTACAGCTTCGCAGGATGATGGGCGAATGCAGATGGCACTACAAACCGCAAACTATGGAGCGGCTGAAGGTCAACTCCCGCCTGACGTATACTTTGACGTCTGAGGACACGCTAAGGGTTCGAACCTCGGCACAGGCCGTCGTAATTCCGTTTTCCGCTTTAATTGGACGGTTGTCGATCAGAGGGGATCCCGTACAAAAGGCTATGTTCTATTTTGTGTAGTGCAATATAATAACAAATAACACAGCGCCATCTAGTTCCAAGTTAAGCAGTTTGTTATGGGTAGATACTAAACAACTAATACAAATAGTTGAATACATTTTTTTGTAAATACATACTTTATACACATAATCAACCAAACCAATATAAATGTTTACATAATGCGAGGAATCAAACCAGCCACCATCTAAGGTAAGGCGGTGTGTTAAATCGCTAGACCATCGAGGCCGTCGTTATGTATGATTAGACATGTAACAAACAGTAAAATTCATGTCATTCCTTAAAATATTTTTGGAATAATGTTATTACTAAAATATAAATGGACAAATAAAACGATACATTTGTGACAGGGAATTGTATATTGAACATTAATTGAAACATTATATTCCTCACAAAAACAATTTTCATAAAATAATCAATCGCATTGACCTGGCTATAATGTAAGATAATATCACTCTGTCTATACTTGCTGATGATGTCTACAATCCGAATTTCTATATTTCTTTTACCCATAGCATTTCAAATTTCATCCAATGACGATCCTTGGACCTTGGATTATATTTGTTGCTGTTTTCGTATCCTTAGAAGGCTTCAGCTTCAGATGTACATAACAAATAATATTCTCTGGACATTTAGTTGTTTGTATTTCTTCATGTATTTTCCGATATCCTTAGAATTCTTGACAATATCAAAAGCAGTTGATCATAGTGCCAAGAGTCATACAATCAATTACATATTATGTATGACTGACAGGCTACTTAAAACATTCAACCCCTCGACGCCTAGCTGTCAGGGTGAAATCGGTACGATCGCAGCATCCCATTCCCAAAGCGGAATTCCAACAGTTTTTTCCCTCACTTGGATCAAGTGACTGCGTTACTCCGACGATGAATTAAATCATATGCTTTCCTCCAAGCGTGCCTTTCTATAACATTTTGTATACAATTATAATATCAGCTCTTACAAAACCTTTCTCGAGTGTTCTGATTATGTCGCCGTTTAACCTTTATTATAGTAAGCTAACAAAACATAAAACTAAAAGACAGATTCCTTTAATAAACGAAGTTGACATAATCATCTTATAAGACAATTGTGTCACCTGAAAAAAATATCGTTAGAAAGATCCTACCTTATTCATAAATGAATGACATGTTAATGTAAAGTCAAGATTGTGATTATGAGCATGTCTTCGTTTTTAATAATAGTATGAGTAAATGTACTTGTATTATGTGTTATGGGATCATGTCTACTATATGTTTGTTGATAGTGTGTACTGTAGTATAAAAAATGTATATATGTGGGTATTGCAAACATGATGTGAATATTGATGTATGAATGTCTGTGGGACGGACCATGCTAGTGCCGACGATGATTTCTGCGCATTTCCTGTAAACGCCGCTCATGCTCCGCCATATGCTGTCGCCTCTGTTCTTCCTTCACTGCTATCTGGAAAGTAAAACGGCAAAATTTTGTAAGTGGGAGATCATTTCTTAATTAATATAATTACAAGTAGACAATAATATTGAAATATCAATGTTAAGTCTCTGATGACAGACAAAAAAAGGTAACACGAAACAGGTTTCATACCTAAAAGAAAAGTTTTAAACGCAAAATTATATAATACCAGAGAGGCAGGGAGGAAACATAGATGTTCTTTAAATAATGATCATCCCTAACTGTCAGGATAATAGTAATAAAAAAAAACCTAACTAATTTTACAATGAATTTAAAAACCTAATGTGGATGTTAACACTTACAGTTTCAGCAGACAGTGGCAACCAATATATGCATGGCGTTGTTTTAGTCTTCCTGAACAAATCATCCAGTAGTTTTGCTGGTGCTTCTTCTTCCTTCTTCTTGAATTTCCTTGCTATAAACAATATTTAAACATTCAAATAAAAACTTAAGTATCTCCTACAGTATTATATTAGTTAAATTACTGCAGGAGTACTATTCACAATACTTTTTAATGGAAGCAAAAAATATGAAGAAAACTAGATTTCAGAAAATTAAGTCTTTTAACTTTGCACAGTTGTTAGCTTACACAGTGACATAACTTGGTGACTCTTGGTGAGTCAATTCAAGATAGGATAGTTTTTGTCAGTCAACTATTATGCATTAAAAATAGGCAGAATATGTCATATTTTTTTATATAAATTACATTACCTGGTTCAGGGCTCCTTTCAGGGCTACGATGTCGTCTCTTATCTAGCAGGCGGTCATCCTTCCTCAACTTTTCCTTCTCTTTGTCTTTATCACCCTTACCAAGATCCCACTCACGCATTGCTGCCTTCCTTTCCCATGGTTTTTCCTAAAATATACATTGATATCAATAATGTAGTATATACTAACAATATTCATTACCACAGAAACAAAAGTGGTATTAAATAAATTTTCTATTCTATTCTTAAAAGGTTGCATGGATTTTATTATATACTCACTAAAACTCACTCACTTTAGTACATAACAGATTTGACTGTAATTTGATACAGTCAGACTAAGGTTATTATAATATTGATATTCTTCAGTTTTTATACCAGACTGGGACCTGACAACCTATGCAGCACAATCTCTGACTTCTATTTTTATAAAATATTGTTACTTTTGATCTTTTCACTTTTATACTTTAACTAATTATGTAGACAGAGTCATTACTAAGTTACACAATTTTTATATGAAAACAATAATTAACTTATAATTTTCTAACCAATTCTCCACGTTCTCGTTTTATATCTTGTTCCAGTAGCCAATCCTCTACTGTTCCTGGTATTGTGGAAGCTTGATTATTATCATTTTCTTCATTCGACTTGGCCTTGTCAAAGGCTTCTTCTGTGGAAAAGTCTACTTGCAATGTCTTAGGGTTGGATACTGGCCAAGTGACACCATGGAGTGCATGTCTGGTTTCTACTGCCTCACTAAAATAAATAAAATTAATAATTATAACATTATATATATACTTTTTGTGTCATAACCTTAGTAATAAATATGGAAAAGATTTTCAGTGCCTTTATATAAATAAATTTTGTTTCTTTAGGTAAGGTGAAAGATTTATTAAAGTTATAATAAATATTCAATAAAAAGAGAATATATAACAATTGAAATACTTACTCTTCAGTCACATATTTAACAAAGCATTTTGATTTAATTCTATCAATCCAAAATCCATTTTCTTGAATTCTTCCAGTTCTTTGTAACAAGTTCTTTAGTTGTGGTAATGTAAATGGCCTTACCAAATTTGTTATGTACAATATATTTGACTGCTTATGTCTGGGTGGACTTGGAGGCCTTGCAATAATGCTATCATTATCTTTAACTATTGAAATTTTCCTATTAGATACCAATGGCGAATCTCTAGGTCTATCTTTTTCTGTTTCAACATTTTCTTTGTTTTTTCGATTGTGTTCCACATTCTCTGTATTATCAATAACAATTTTTGGTAAAATGGGTCTATCCACTTTTTCAACAACATCCCTTCTATTATGTTTTTTTTCTTCGATAACTTCTTCAAATTCCACAGGTTTAACATCAGGTATTATCTCTTTAAGAACATCGGTAGATATAGTAATAGACTTTTGGGTTGTAACTTTGGAAGAGCGAGAGCCCCATCTTCGTTTCCTATTAATAGTTATAGGAGCTGTACCATTTTGTACAGTTTCTTCCTGGGTTGATTGTATTGAGTCAGAACGTTCAAGATCTCTACTTTTATGCCTTATTTTATTTTCTACCTTCTCATCAGCATCAGAAGAATTTTTCCTTGTCCTTTCTACTTCTGTACCATCTGATTTCTCTACAACATCAGTTTTATTAGTATCTTTATTCTCATCACTGTGAATTGGCTCTTTTTCCTTGGAAAAACTGACAGACTGTTCTTCAATTTTACTTACCTTTTCAGAAATGGACTCCTTATCTGTGTCAATATTTTCCTCTACAGAATCCTCCTGCATCTTGGTCTCATTATCAAACGACTCACACTTACTTTCCTCTGCATGAATTTCAAGAATTTCAGATTTATCAACAGACACACTGAGATTTGACTCAGGGCTATCTTTTTCTGGTGTTTTATCTTTAGCCTGTTTAACATCAATCTGAGCTGATACAACTGTTGTTTCATTTTCTTGCAAACCAACTACAGTTTCAGTAACCACTGTAACTACAGTTATTGGTTCAATTCTTGGAGAAACAACAGTTGTGTCAGCATCAGATGACTTACTTTGATCTATATTTATTGCTGTTTCTTCCTTTTGTATTTCACCAGTTTCATTTAAATTATCACTTGTTTTGGGTTCATCACTAGTTGTAGACATTGGAATTTCATCTATAATTGTGACTTGTATCTGTTCAGTGCTTTGGGTTACTTGAGTATCACCATCTTGACACAACACTTCTACCTCCCTGTCTTGTTCTTCTTGACTATCATGATTTTTGTCTGATCCATCTTTCGATGCACGTGCCGCACGTTTAGTGCGATGCTTACTTTTCTTTCGATCCTCTGTTCCTTCATTACTTGGTGTATCACTTGAACTAGTCGCTCGAGAATGTTTTCTCCTGCTTCTTGGGGACCGATCCGGCCTTTCAGGAGTAGAGGGTGGACGTGTTAGACAAATTTTTAATTTCTGTATCTCTCCTACATCACCACTATCTGTGGCTTTGACATGCCATACCTGTTCTTGAGTTTCTTCAGGACTATTAGCTTTTATAGGTGTTTGTGGAGGTTTTTTTACAAGATCAGTATCGATCGCAGGCTCTGACTCTTGCGAAATTGTCTCATCGGCAGATTCATTTTCAGAGGAAGTAGACTTCTTGCGACGAGATCTCGTGCGTTTCACTTTCTCAACTTTCTTTTCAGGCGAAGATTTTCTTTTTTTGCTCGCCGATCGTTCACTTTTGCGACGCATCGTTCTAAAATAAACAAGACAAGTAAAACATTAACTATAAACATTACAATAAAAAATACTTATATATGGCTAAATCAGCATTACTTACACTATGAAATCTAATTAAAAGAAGATATTTATTTGGTTTAAAATACAATGTATAAATTAAAGCGTGGGTTTTCATACAAGGTAACAATCCGCCATTTTATTTTTGTTTTATTCAGTGTTGCTATTGAAAAACATTTTTTTTTTTTTTTTTTTCCATATTCGTCCATCTCCTTTTCAGTGATGGAACAGGCAAAGATCCTTAGACCGTACAGCCTAGTCTACTTTTAAACTTCTTCATATTTGAACAAGTGATGAGGCCAAAGGCCAATTCTTATGTATATTTATTTATTATGTTTTCATTCGTGTTCAAAATTTAAGTCTTATCCGTAGTCCATATCCTTGTATCAATTATTTAAAGTTTCATCGATATCGAGGTAACGTATAAGTATATAGGTATATATGTTTCAAAATTAGTTAGCATGTCTTGGATGTCGCGCGGGATTTTTTCCGGTTTCTTGTAAATGTTCAGTAAATTATCAATAAAGACCAAGCGTTGAATATTATAAGCGGAACATTCGAAAAATATGTGATTTAGGGTCTGACTGCTGTTATTGCACTCTTGACATGCATTTGAATCAATTATTTTCATTCGGCACAAATGACTATTGAATCTAGCGTGACCAAAACGAAGTCGTATAAGGAGTGTGTAAAATTTCCGGTTTTTATAAACTCTAGATTTAGTGAACCAGGGTGAGGAATGAATATTTTTGTTAATGGAGTAAAACCAATTACCCTTGGTCTTTAGCGAAAGTTGCCACTGTTCAATCCATTTTTGACGAAAACTCTTGTAAACTATAGAAAGAATGTCGGAATAAGGTATGGCAACATCCTTGACAACGCCAATGTCACTGTTGGTGATAGTTCTTGCCAGGAGATCTGCGTTTTCATTACCGAAAACACCAATATGTGATGGTGTCCATAATAAAATAATATCATAACACTCCAATGAGAGCTCATATAATATTTGCTTAATGCTATCTATGATATAATTGGTTTTATAATGTAGTTTGTTACTTTGAAGAGCAGTTAAAACACTCATACTGTCTGTGACAATTAACCATTTTTTGCAATTGCCCCTATCATCTTTTATATAACAAAGTGCATTTAAAATAGCCAAAGATTCTGCTGAAAAAATACTAAATTCTTTATGTATTCTAGTTCCATGACCGGTTCTGATACTTGGTAAGTATAGAGCAAAGGATGTTCTCGATTCGTTTTTAGAACCGTCTGTAAATATGGATTGATGAGTTGAAAATGTAGACAACTTGTTATAAACTTCTTGTTTGGTCCTTAACTCAGAGTCAATTACAATATTAATATTTGGAAATTTACTTTCAAATGGTCCATGGTAACAATTCCAAAATCTATTGCTTTTGTGAATTTTGTATTGCTGATCAATATTGATTGAGTCAGAGAAATCATGAAGTATATAGGGAACTGTTTTAGAATTAGAAAGGGGAAATAAAGAAGTAATATGTTTGAGCTGTTGTAAGAGTGGGTCTTCAGAAAAGGATAATAATTTTAGGATGAATCTTTGTTTTAAGTACCAGAATCTCAGGTTTAATGGTGGTATACAGCACTCTACTTGTAAGGAATTTATAGGGGTTGTTTTCATTGCACCAGTTATGTATCTTAAATTATTATTCTGAAGTACTTCAAGTTTATGAAGCTTGTTTTGGTCAGAACCAAAACATAGATAGCCATATTCAAAGTGGCTGCGAACCAAGGATTTGTACAGCATTAAAAGGATCTTAGGATCACATTTATATAGAGCTTTGATAATATTAAATGCTTTGGAAGCTTTACCTAGTAAATAATCAACATATTTGTTCCAAGACAAATTGCTACAAAAAATAACACCTAAAAATTTAACTTCAGCAGTAATAGGTAGTTGTGAATTATTATATAATATTTTAATGTTTTTGTATGATTTATTAGTTTTAGAAAATATTACTACTTTAGATTTGTCAGGGCTTACATCTAAATTGAGGTATTTAAAGTAATCTGTTAATCTTAACAATGCATTACTTATTATTTCTGTAACTTTATTAATGTCTGGGCCTGAAAAGTATATAACAAGGTCATCTGCAAATTGAAGATTCCTGACATGTGGTCCTAAAATTAAATTAAGTTTGTGTATGTAGAGGATAAAGAGTAATGGACTAAGTATTCCACCTTGACACACACCTTTATAAGAAAGACGAGGTCCTATTAACTGCTTGTTAACTTTAACAAAAACTTCTCTACCATTTAAAAAGTTATAGACCCAGTTTATAATTTTTCCAGGTATACCAATAGAAACAAGTTCCAGAGTGAGAATGTGATGATTGACATTATTGAATGCACCGATAATATCAAAGAATACCCCAATCAAAACTTCATTGCATTTAAGTGCTTTAAATATATCAATATGAAGATGAGTAACACTCTCAGAGGCAGATTTACCTCTACGAAAACCAAACTGATTTGCTGGTAATAAACAATTACTCTCTATGTAGAATTCTAGTCTTTGTTTTAATAATTGCTCAAATATTTTTCCCATGCAGGAGGTCAGAGTTATAGGTCTATAGGAATCTATTTCATTTGCATTTTTGTTTGGTTTTAAAATTGGAATAATACAATCTTTTTTCCAATCGGAAGGAATAAGTGAATCTTTCCACAGTGCATTATAAATACATAAAACAATATTTTTAGAGTTATAAGAGAGGTTTTTTAATAATTTATATGCTATGCCATCGAGACCAAATGCTGTATCTCTTCGGGTAGATATGGCTGCATTAAATTCATAAAAAGTGAAGGGTTTATTTAAATAATTTAATTTGTTACTATTTTCATTAATGTGTGATTTAAATTGGGTCTCGACAGTGTCAGGAGTATATTTTTTAAGAAAATTAGAAATCCAGTTATTATTATTTGAAATCTGACTATATACATAAGTTTTATTGAATTTTTTAACAGTATTCCAAATTTTGGAAATGGGTGTGGTGCGATTAAAATTTTCACAAAACTTATTCCAGCTAATTGATTGTTCTTTTTTAAGTATTAATTTTTTTTTGGCTTGTAACCTTTTAAAAGCAATATAATTTGCCTCTGATGGGTCGTTTTTAAAATTAATATATGCCTGTTTAGAATTATCTACTGCAAGAGTACATTTTTGATTCCACCAAGATAATGGAATCCTTTTATTTTTAAAAGAAATATCATTTGTAGAGCTTATGGGTTTTGATTTTGATATACAACATTTGTCTATAGCTAAATTTAAAATATCAATTAATTTAGTATAACACTGCAGGGGTGAATTACTATAAGTGTAAAGTGTAAAATCTTGTAACAAACTATCTGTGGTCTTCTTATACACAGTCCAATCTATAAGATTGTAATTATGAAATTTGGGATAATCTAAGGATTCTGGTAATCTAGAGCAATTGTTATTAATTACTATTTTTGTTATTACAGGTAAATGGTAGCTACCTAAGGGATCATTATGTACTATCCAATGTGAAGCAAGAGATATGCAAGGGGATGCAATAGTAAGGTCAAGCGCATTACTCTGCCATCTGTGTGATCCTACTGTAGTCGGTGTACCATCATTTAAGAGGACCAAGTTGTTACCATCAATACATTCAAGAATGTCACGACCGCGAGCATTAATAGACGAGCAACCCCATGCTGTGTGATGAGCATTAAAATCACCAGCAACCAACATGGGCTCTGGAATACTATTAAGAAGATTACTGAATTTATTTTTGTTAAAACGTGGACTACAATTATTTGGGCTATAAAAACTAACAACTGACATTTCTGTGTTTTTATATTTTAATCGTACCGCAATATTCTGTAAGGAATCATCACTATATGTATCAATTTTACTGAATTCTATACTTTTATGAACTAAAATTGCAACGCCGTTGTGGTCATTGCCTGAGTCTAATCTAACAATGTTAAAGCCTTTAATATTTAATTTATAGTAGGCTTTTAGCCAGGTTTCTGATATCAGAGCAATATGAATATTGTTCTCCAATAGAAAATGTGTAAAGATTTGTTGATTACTTACTAAACTTTGTGCATTCCACTGGACTATTACTATATGGTCCATAAAGAAATAAAAAATTAAAGAAAGAAAGATTAATCTGGGTTTTTTTTATTCTGTAATGTCTCTAGGAGAACTTGTTTTATATTTTCTGTACATATTGTTTTGTCATTGGTTCTATTCAATGTTATAATTTTAACAATTGATTCTAATAGGGTATTTAAAATTTGGTCAGAATTAAGTAGGGATATAAATTGTGCCGAAGGTGAAGTTTTGGTACTGCCTAATTGAGGAAATGATTTCTCTCTAACAATATCAGCATAACTTTGTACTTTATTTTTATTCTCCTCTATTTTCTTTTTCTTAATAGGACACTGTGATGAAATGGCTATATGATTACCATTGCAGTGACAACATTTGGCTTCGTTAATATTTGCCGAACAGTTTCTGAAATTATGATTATTTCCGCATACTGAGCATCTTTCAGCGTTCTTACAAAACTTAGCGATGTGACCATACCTTAAACATTTAAGACACTGCTTTACAGGAGGTATGTAAGGCCTCACCACAAAGCGCCAGCTATTCAGGTCGACGGTGTCAGGAAGTACAGGACAGGAAAATGTGATGGAGACGGTTTTAGTTGGCTGCATTGTAAAGGTGTTATCATCACCTTTAATACGCCTCATGAATCTGCGTACACAAACAATATTTTTTGAGCTGGTTATATTAGAGTATATTTGTTCGTTCGATAGATGCGTAGGAACATGCTGAACTACTCCAGTTACTTCCGTGGCTGAAGCTGGTATACTTGCCTTTAATTTAAATCCGTCTAGAAATTTTTTATTAACTAAGGCTGCATTAGCTAAACCGGGGCGTTCAAAAATGACGCCGATCTTAAATTTATTCATCCTTAATAATTGCTTAACTCCTTTATTATATTTTTTCAAATTAGTAGCTAAGGACATCATATCCCTATCACCGATTGGCTTATTACTATCTGTACTCTCCATAAATACAATGTATTCAAAGTTTCCACCATCCTCAGGATAGTACCGAACATAATCTGGTATTTGAAATGCCTTATACTTATCCACATCCTCAGGTGCCGATTCCGAGTCAGACCCTAGAAAATTAATATCATCGGATGTATCATCCGATATTTCCTCTTTCTTTTTTCGCTTCTTCCCGCTCCTCTTCGTCATCTTTACTAGTTTTGACTAAAAAAACTCAATAAAATATTATTTTCCAAAACTAGCGCGAAAAAATACGTGTAGTCGCTTTGAAAGTTCCCGCGCTTTTTTTCGCTATTGAAAAACAGTTTTGTACAGTATACAAAATTTTATATATTGTTAAACGTACAGTACAGCCCAGGTACTACTTCTGATACTGCTATTTTGACTAATTATATTAAATAAAATGTTAAAGTGCAGTATTTATAAAACGTTTCAGTGTGGAATATTATGTAAGTGATAATAATAATGTATCAGGCTTACTTGCCCATTTTGTTAGTATTACTATGTAATATTATGTTATCTGTGGTATTACTATTTTATTATAGTTAATGTTACTAACGTTACGTTTATAATGTACTGACTCAAAAACAAAATATGTGTAATAATAACAAAAATAAATACCTATCAAATTAAATTACACAATTAATACGAAAAACCAACTAATAGTATGTTCCGACAGAGGGCACCATCATTATATATTATTATTATTATAAATATTTCTTAATTATTTTGGTTTTGATAACAAGTGTGATGCTGACGCCTAACTTACAGGCTACATAGTTTTATAGCTTTCGAAGGTAAAAGTTTTAAAAGTTTTTATAGTAGCCTAATTTTGTATTTATTGTTATTACAAATGAAACAAAAACAAAGTGAAAAATGAAATGTAAAATGACGAATATACAATTTTTTAAATTAATAGGTATTAAACTTAATGTGGGTGAAATAGCATTTACGTACATATATGGTACTTGCCCAGTAATAAATAACTGAATACAACAGCATTTCAAAGTTAGAACGAAGTAATTTGTATTGGTTACATTACAACGTTATTTTCTCAATTTTTTAAAATGAAAATTTTATTTTCTTGATCAACAAGGGTTACAATTGCTAGTGGTTACTATTTTCCTTAATATCACAAACTGTGCATGTAGAAAAGCATGTTTAAGAATCCGGTTTTCGCGTTACAAATATAGGTAACTTCTGGACTTCTTCCTAATTTATTGGCAACACTAACTAAGTAGAGCCAACATACATAAAAAAAATATCAAAAGAAATTTGACATTTGTATGAAAAAGCGCGGGAACTTTCAAAGCGACTACACGTATTTTTTCGCGCTAGTTTTGCAAAATTATATTTTATTGAGTTTTTGTAGTCAAAATCAGTAAAGATGACGAAGAGGAGCGGGAAGAAGCGAAAAAAGAAAGAGGAAATATCGGACGATACATCCGATGATATTAATTTTCTAGGGTCTGACTCGGAATCGGCACCTGAGGATGTGGATAAGTATAAGGCATTTCAAATACCAGATTATGTTCGGTACTATCCTGAGGATGGTGGAAACTTTGAATACATTGTATTTATGGAGAGTACAGATAGTAATAAGCCAATCGGTGATAGGGATATGATGTCCTTAGCTACTAATTTGAAAAAATACAATAAAGGAGTTAAGCAATTATTAAGGATGAATAAATTTAAGATCGGCGTCATTTTTGAACGCCCCGGTTTAGCTAATGCAGCCTTAATTAATAAAAAATTTCTAGACGGATTTAAATTAAAGGCAAGTATACCAGCTTCAGCCACGGAAGTAACTGGAGTAGTTCAGCATGTTCCTACGCATCTATCGAACGAACAAATATACTCTAATATAACCAGCTCAAAAAATATTGTTTGTGTACGCAGATTCATGAGGCGTATTAAAGGTGATGATAACACCTTTACAATGCAGCCAACTAAAACCGTCTCCATCACATTTTCCTGTCCTGTACTTCCTGACACCGTCGACCTGAATAGCTGGCGCTTTGTGGTGAGGCCTTATATACCTCCTGTAAAGCAGTGTCTTAAATGTTTAAGGTATGGTCACATCGCTAAGTTTTGTAAGAACGCTGAAAGATGCTCAGTATGCGGAAATAATCATAATTTCAGAAACTGTTCGGCAAATATTAACGAAGCCAAATGTTGTCACTGCAATGGTAATCATATAGCCATTTCATCACAGTGTCCTATTAAGAAAAAGAAAATAGAGGAGAATAAAAATAAAGTACAAAGTTATGCTGATATTGTTAGAGAGAAATCATTTCCTCAATTAGGCAGTACCAAAACTTCACCTTCGGCACAATTTATATCCCTACTTAATTCTGACCAAATTTTAAATACCCTATTAGAATCAATTGTTAAAATTATAACATTGAATAGAACCAATGACAAAACAATATGTACAGAAAATATAAAACAAGTTCTCCTAGAGACATTACAGAATAAAAAAAACCCAGATTAATCTTTCTTTATTTAATTTTTTATTTCTTTATGGACCATATAGTAATAGTCCAGTGGAATGCACAAAGTTTAGTAAGTAATCAACAAATCTTTACACATTTTCTATTGGAGAACAATATTCATATTGCTCTGATATCAGAAACCTGGCTAAAAGCCTACTATAAATTAAATATTAAAGGCTTTAACATTGTTAGATTAGACTCAGGCAATGACCATAACGGCGTTGCAATTTTAGTTCATAAAAGTATAGAATTCAGTAAAATTGATACATATAGTGATGATTCCTTACAGAATATTGCGGTACGATTAAAATATAAAAACACAGAAATGTCAGTTGTTAGTTTTTATAGCCCAAATAATTGTAGTCCACGTTTTAACAAAAATAAATTCAGTAATCTTCTTAATAGTATTCCAGAACCCATGTTGGTTGCTGGTGATTTTAATGCTCATCACACAGCATGGGGTTGCTCGTCTATTAATGCTCGTGGTCGTGACATTCTTGAATGTATTGATGGTAACAACTTGGTCATCTTAAATGATGGTACACCGACTACAGTAGGATCACACAGATGGCAGAGTAATGCACTTGACCTTACTATTGCATCCCCTTGCTTATCTCTTGCTTCAAATTGGATGGTACATAATGATCCCTTAGGTAGCTACCATTTACCTGTAATAACAAAAATAGTAATTAATAACAATTGCACTAGATTACCAGAATCCTCAGATTATCCCAAATTTCATAATTACAATCTTATAGATTGGACCAAGTATAAGAAGACCACAGATAGTTTGTTACAAGATTTTACACTTTACACTTATAGTAATTCACCCCTGCAGTGTTATACTAAATTAATTGATATTTTCAATTTAGCTCTAGACAAAAGTTGTATATCAAAATCAAAACCCATAAACTCTACAACTGATATTCCTTTTAAAAATAAAAGGATTCCATTACCTTGGTGGAATGAAAAATGTACACTTGCAGTAGATAACTCTAAACAGGCATATGTTAATTTTAAAAAGAACCCATCAGAGGCAAATTATGTTACATTTAAAAGGTTACAAGCCAAAAAAAAGTTAATACTTAAAAAAGAACAATCAATTAGCTGGAATAATTTTTGTGAAAATTTTAATCGCACCACACCCATTTCGAAAATTTGGAATACTGTTAAAAAATTCAATAAAACTTATGTATATAGTCAGATTTCAAATAAAAATAACTGGATTTCAGATTTTCTTAAGAAATATACTCCTGACACTGTCGAGACCCAATTTAAATCACACATTAATGAAAATAGTAACAAATTAAATTATTTAAATAAACCCTTCACTTTTTCTGAATTCAATGCAGCCATATCTACCCGAAGAGATACAGCATTTGGTCTCGATGGCATACCATATAAATTATTAAAAAACCTCTCTTATACATCTAAAAATATTGTTCTATGTATTTATAATGCACTGTGGAAAGAGTCAGTTATTCCTTCCGATTGGAAAAAAGATTGTATTATTCCAATTTTAAAACCAAACAAAAATGCAAATGAAATAGATTCCTATAGACCCATAACCCTGACCTCCTGCATGGGAAAAATATTTGAGCAATTATTAAAACAAAGATTAGAATTCTACATAGAGAGTAATTGTTTATTACCAGCAAACCAGTTTGGTTTTCGTAGAGGTAAATCTGCCTCTGAGAGTGTTGCTCATCTTCATATTGATATATTTAAAGCACTTAAATGCAATGAAGTTTTGATTGGGGTATTCTTTGATATTATCGGTGCATTCAATAATGTCAATCATCACATTCTTACTCTGGAACTTGTTTCTATTGGTATACCTGGAAAAATTATAAACTGGGTCTATAACTTTTTAAATGGTAGAGAAGTTTTTGTTAAAGTTAACAAGCAGTTAATAGGACCTCGTCTTTCTTATAAAGGTGTGTGTCAAGGTGGAATACTTAGTCCATTACTCTTTATCCTCTACATACACAAACTTAATTTAATTTTAGGGCCACATGTCAGGAATCTTCAATTTGCAGATGACCTTGTTATATACTTTTCAGGCCCAGACATTAATAAAGTTACAGAAATAATAAGTAAGGCATTGTTAAGATTAACAGATTACTTTAAATACCTCAATTTAGATGTAAGCCCTGACAAATCTAAAGTAGTAATATTTTCTAAAACTAATAAATCCTACAAAAACATTAAAATATTATATAATAATTCACAACTACCTATTACTGCTGAAGTTAGATTTTTAGGTGTTATTTTTTGTAGCAATTTGTCTTGGAACAAATATGTTGATTATTTACTAGGTAAAGCTTCCAAAGCATTTAATATTATCAAAGCTCTATATAAATGTGATCCTAAGATCCTTTTAATGCTGTACAAATCCTTGATTCGCAGCCACTTTGAATATGGCTATCTATGTTTTGGTTCTGACCAAAACAAGCTTCATAAACTTGAAGTACTTCAGAATAATAATTTAAGATACATAACTGGTGCAATGAAAACAACCCCTATAAATTCCTTACAAGTAGAGTGCTGTATACCACCATTAAACCTGAGATTCTGGTACTTAAAACAAAGATTCATCCTAAAATTATTATCCTTTTCTGAAGATCCACTCTTACAAAAGCTCAAACATATTACTTCTTTATTTCCCCTTTCTAATTCTAAAACAGTTCCCTATATACTTCATGATTTCTCTGACTCAATCAATATTGATCAGCAATACAAAATTCACAAAAGCAATAGATTTTGGAATTGTTACCATGGACCATTTGAAAGTAAATTTCCAAATATTAATATTGTAATTGACTCTGAGTTAAGGACCAAACAAGAAGTTTATAACAAGTTGTCTACATTTTCAACTCATCAATCCATATTTACAGACGGTTCTAAAAACGAATCGAGAACATCCTTTGCTCTATACTTACCAAGTATCAGAACCGGTCATGGAACTAGAATACATAAAGAATTTAGTATTTTTTCAGCAGAATCTTTGGCTATTTTAAATGCACTTTGTTATATAAAAGATGATAGGGGCAATTGCAAAAAATGGTTAATTGTCACAGACAGTATGAGTGTTTTAACTGCTCTTCAAAGTAACAAACTACATTATAAAACCAATTATATCATAGATAGCATTAAGCAAATATTATATGAGCTCTCATTGGAGTGTTATGATATTATTTTATTATGGACACCATCACATATTGGTGTTTTCGGTAATGAAAACGCAGATTTCCTGGCAAGAACTATCACCAACAATGACATTGGCGTTGTCAAGGATGTTGCCATACCTTATTCCGACATTCTTTCTATAGTTTACAAGAGTTTTCGTCAAAAATGGATTGAACAGTGGCAACTTTCGCTAAAGACCAAGGGTAATTGGTTTTACTCCATTAACAAAAATATTCATTCCTCACCCTGGTTCACTAAATCTAGAGTTTATAAAAACCGGAAATTTTACACACTCCTTATACGACTTCGTTTTGGTCACGCTAGATTCAATAGTCATTTGTGCCGAATGAAAATAATTGATTCAAATGCATGTCAAGAGTGCAATAACAGCAGTCAGACCCTAAATCACATATTTTTCGAATGTTCCGCTTATAATATTCAACGCTTGGTCTTTATTGATAATTTACTGAACATTTACAAGAAACCGGAAAAAATCCCGCGCGACATCCAAGACATGCTAACTAATTTTGAAACATATATACCTATATATTTATACGTTACCTCGATATCGATAAAACTATAAATAATTGATACAAGGATATGGACTACGGATAAGACTTAAATTTTGAACACGAATGAAAACATAATAAATAAACATACATAAGAATTGGCCTTTGGCCTCATCACTTGTTCAAATATGAAGAAGTTTAAAAGTAGACTAGGCTGTACGGTCTAAGGATCTTTGCCTGTTCCATCACTGAAAAGGAGATGGACGAATATGGAAAAAGAAATTTGACATTTGTATTATAATGTCAAAATGGAAATGAAATTATTTTCTCTAAGGTTTGTGGTCTACGAGGTCTACAATCTAAATTTTTCTGAAATCTAAGTAACTAACATGAACATATTAAAATGTTAAGGTATGTTGTTCTTGTAAGCATCTTGCCGCGCAACTTGTTATTTACTCCATTCTAAAGTATACATAATTTATGCAGTTACCTTTTGTTGCAGTTTCTGTGACCATTCGTCATTCCTAAGAATCGGCATACGATTTAGGTGTGTCTAGATATTTTGAAATTACTGTAGAATGATAATAAGTTACATTTGACGATCTTTATCATTCTATCATGGGTAATCAAAATAGCTGTTGCTGTTACCGCAGCCCATCGCCTATCAGAAAAGACATCGTCAAACTAGAAGACTACCTTCCAGAAGGAGAAGTAAGTTCTAATAATATTCAACATATTAGTGAACGGGAGCCTGATGATGGAGACATTGATCCTTCTCAAGATCCAATTGCGGGTACAATTTTCATGGAAAGGTCTAAAGCATCAATTGAGAATGGTATGACCAGAAAACGTAGTCAACATCAAATAGCTGATAATAAGCTTAAAAAGAGCAGTTCTTGTTCAACAATTTACCTAGATGACAGTACTGTATCTCAGCCAAACCTAAAAAATACAGTGAAATGTGTTGCTCTCGCTATTTATTACCACATTAAAAATAGAACATCTGAAAGAAGATTAGATATTTTTGATGAAAAGCTTCACCCTTTGTGTAAAGAAGGAGTTACTGATGATTATGATAAATATAATCCAGAACATAAGCAGATATATAAGTTTGTTAGAACTCTTTTTAATGCAGCACAGTTAACTGCAGAATGTGCTATCATTACTTTGGTATATTTGGAGCGATTGCTCATTTGTGCTGAACTTGATATAGCCCCATCAAATTGGAAAAGAATAGTTTTAGGAGCAATATTATTGGCCAGCAAAGTGTGGGATGACCAAGCTGTGTGGAATGTAGACTACTGTCAAATACTGAAAGACATCACTGTAGAGGACATGAATGAATTGGAACGTCAATTTTTAGAAATGTTGCAATTTAACATAAATGTACCATCTAGTGTTTATGCTAAGTATTATTTTGACCTGCGTACACTTGCTGAGGCCAATGACCTTGCATTCCCTAGTGAGCCCCTTAGTAAAGAGAGAGCACAGAAGTTGGAAGCTATGTCACGAGTGATGGAAGACAAAATAGCTGCTGAAGTAGTTAAAAATGGAATTAAGAAATGGTCAAGCTTGGACAATGTTAATTCTGGTGCTGGTGTTAGAAGGAGTGTAGCCATATTGTCATAATATGTTACTAATCTCATCAGGCAATTTGGAGGAAATATTTATTAACACAAATTACATAAGAGGCAACATTGTGTATTTAAAAAATGTGTTGTAATTAGAAATTTTGCACCAGATATTTTTTACCTAAAACATTGTTTAATAATTAGCTACCAAAATTGAGTTAAAATTTATGAATCCATTAATGACTGGTACAATTTTGCATGGTATCTATCCTTTTAGTCATTATTTTAGTTTATGTACTATTAAAAGCAAAATTGAAATGAAGTTTTATACATAGATGTTATGTACAGTCAATCTCTTAAGTTTATTACAGCACTAAGTATAGTCACTATTAATGAGACTTGTATGTGGTCCAACAATTAATTTTTTCTTGTTTGCCAAATTGCTACAATGTTAACATTGTAAGCTTTCATTTTATGTTCTAACTTTTAACTCAGAAGCACTAATATAAGTAAATAGGTTGCTTCCAAAACTGCTATTTAGTGTATTTGTAGATATAATGGAATGTGTAACAAAAATTTGACTGATATAAGGATCTTGTGATTGTGGTATGAATGTTTTATGTAGTCAACAGCTGTTTTTAATATAATTTTACATTATTGTAATGCATTTAGAATTCTGATCTAGTTATAAAATATAAAATTATGCCAAATTGTTATTTTCTATTACAAATTATATGTGGTCTGAAATAGATGGATGTTACAGTAATTAAAATATGTGTAATTATGTATGTGAGAATTAATTATAATTTTGAACAATGTGAATGAATCCATTATTTCATTATTAAGAATGTGGTTGAATTACTTATACAATCCATACTTTATGTATCTTAATGTAATTAAGCAGAAATAAACATTTTATATGAGACTTTTAAAAGGCTTTCCATTTTAGATTTACTTGTTCTATAATAATATAACAACCCAAGACATTTCACACAGCACTAGTCCCAACTAAGCGGAGCTGATGTTATGGGTATAATAGAATGTTATGACTAGGAAAGTCGGATATAATAAATATTTAGGATACATTTTTTCATACATACAGTAAGGCAGCGAGCTAAACGGCTAGACTACTGAGGCCATCATATAAGAAATTATCAATGACAAGCTAAATTCTTATATATACTATTATATAAATTGGTAAATTTAGTTATCAATAAAACAAGTGACAGTGTACTTTCAACATATTTAATTACAAAAACATTAAAGGACTAATCTAATGGTTTAAGATCCTTCAAATACTGACTGTAATTTTCAAATGCATCAACAACATCATCAGTCTTCTTTCGAATTTGTTCATCATATTCAGGACCAACAGACCAAAGTGTTTCTAGATCATATATCTGTCGCACCTTATCAGAGAATATGTGTAGTGCTATATTACCTAAAACAAAAGAGGAGTACATTATTTAAATGTGGCTTTATTATACAGAGTAAATAATGAATATGTATAATGTATCGAAACAACCAGTTTAATTTAAAATATAAAAAAAAATTAATAACTTTAAAAAATTACATTTGTTTTTAAATTATTGATAAAAGTTTTATTTAATTTTCAAGTTCACAAATGAACTTTACAAACATTCATTATATCATGTTTGTCATTTAAGTACACTAGGAGGAAGGTGAGCCTTTGATCAACAGAAAGACACTATATTTCTAGTCAATAATTCAAAGTAATTAATATTAAATAGTATGGATAAATGAAAAAAACGTACTTAATAATTTGTGAAAAATAATGTATAAGCCATAAAAACAAAAATTATAATTATATAAGTGCATCTGTAATTTGTGTATACTGATATCAAAACTAATAATCAAATTGAATAAAACACTGACTTAGTAAGGTTATGTGGTATAAAAGCTTTAAAATGTGGATGATACTTAGCAATTTAAATTCAATAAAAAACATGGAACATAAAAAAGTAAAAAATAAGCACCTAAATCCAAAGCTATCCATTCATCAGAGTTCTTTCCTTCAATTCTTGGTATAGGATCATATTTATTGCACTTCTTTTTATAAACTTTTCTTATAAATTCGGCTAAAGCTTGAATGTGTCTTTTGCTGCGGCCAGTAACGATACAAATGTAACTAACATAACGAATTTCTTGGGGTACTGACACTACAAATATATCCTTAGAATTTTCTCTTTCCAGTAAATTCACCAGGTCTTCCACATCAAAAACTCCAGTTTTACCTCCTGTAAAAGTAAAACAAATTGAAGTAGTTATTAATTTCGTAATTTATACACCATATATACAGTTCGGAAGTTCTTTGTTCCGTGGTAATTTAAATTAATATAGATTTATCATAATTATGTAATTTTAAAACAGTCCATCAGATTAAACAATCTATTATACTTACTATCAAGATTTATACCGTCAAATTCATCACTAAGTGTTTGATACCTGTCCGCAGAATGAATTTCCTCCGAAGTATTTTCAATTACTTGTGCATTGGCCTCTGTTATCACTTGGTACTTGCCGGCTATTGCTGGGGAGGTAACGTCATCTGGCTTCGGTATTTGTCTAGGATTTCTTAAACAAACTCCACAACATATTTGCCTGTTGATTTTTTGATTAGAAGAACGCGGTAAAATTAAACTGGTATAAATAGAATTCACGACAGTCCTTGAAAAAATATTCCTAAATAATGACATGATTAATTTCTGTTTTGATAGAATAAATATATACAGAGTTTAATCGCCTTTACTTTATATTTACGAAAATTTCCAAGACTAGAAAATAAATTAATATTAAGTTTATTTAGTTTGTTAGATGGTATATTTAGTAATATTTACTTTACTCTGGTTAGACCTAAGTACATTAGTACACATTTTCTTTCTAATAGGTTGGCACCAAGAGCGGGGACCACTTCAATATTTTATTCTAAATTGTTTATTAAACTTACCATAAGAAAAAATGACTTGTTGAATGACTGATAGTTTTTGTCATTCTGTTGGTTCAGTCGGATTTACAACTTAAACCGACTGAGGCAACTTCACTTCTATTATATATGGTACATTCATAGTTGAAGCTATGAATGTACCATATATGTAGATTAATAAGCCTACATAATTATTAAATTAATATATATGTATATTATAGTCATAAGACTGTGGCGTTTTCTGATGGTTCTTATATTAACTGTCAGAAAACGCATCCATCCATACATCCATACATAATACATAAATTACATAACCGTAACTTTTTCTCTGGTATATTTATACTTTGATTGGCATGTTGGTGCATATCTATATATATAAATATAATTGGAAAAAAACAGTTATTTCAATATTACAAAGAGGCACTCTTTGTTATATTGAAATAACTGTTTTTACTACATGCATATAAATATATAAATACGGTGCGGAACTTTTATTTACAGGTAGCTGATATAATAAAGAGTAACTTAGGCTACTTTTATTTTAGAAATGTTATTTTATTTTATAAAAATAAAGTTAGATTCCACGCGGACGAAGTCGTACAGCTAGTGCTAAATACAATATAAATGAATAATATAATAGATAAACAGCCAAGTTCTGGCAAATATTGTATGATTAGTAGTTGGTTCAGGTAATGTTGCGGCAATTCTACAGCTAACAAGAACAGTATCTAAGTGATTGTCACTACACTACCAGTCATAACCGATGAAGGAGAAAATCCATCATCAAGAACTTCTTAATGCATGATCATCACTACATTAAAAAAATAATCTAGCTAAAATTGGGAGCAACAGGCCCCATTGCCAACAATATACAACTCTTCTCAATACTATTTGAAAAAAAAAAATAAAGTAAAGACAATTAAAGTCTGTACCGATCTATATATTTGCTTGCTAATTTGTGCTATGCTTATGCTTATTCGTGCATCACATAGCCGTGGCCACTTCACGGTCGGCGTCTCCTTCGACATCGAGAATGCGTTCGATGGTATCTGATGCGTTGTGTCGAAGCTACTTTACACCAGCACGCCGCGAGCCTAAGTGCGAGTAGTGGACGGATATCTCACGGGGCGTAGCTTCTATGTTTCAGTCGAGAACAGTGACTCCACCACACGCCCAATAGCCATTGGAGTCCAGCAAAGCAGCTGCATATCGTATGTGTATGTATTGAGTCGTCCGCTGGTCCGTACGGACCGCAGGATTCGGGCCTTGAGCAGAGCTCTTTGCTCGTGCATTCTGCTGGGGCATGCCACGCAGCCGCTCGCAAAATGCAGCGGCTGTTGGATCTGCTCCCCGACTGGCTGGTCAGGTGGCAAACCACCATTAACATGAGTAAATCGGTGGCGAAGCTGATCCGCCATCGGTGAGTTTATACGTCGCTACTCCAACTGAGACAGGCCATTAAATGGGAACGCACAGTGCACAACACATTACCTATAGGTTGAAATCGACCGGTCGCTGCGTATGTCACCGCAGGTCGACCGGGCCGTAACCCAGGCCACGGCCTCGCGCGTTTTTCTGCGACCGGTCCTACAATCCAGGCTGCAGCTGCAGACGAAGGTAGGGATCTACAAAGCCTATGTTCGTTCAAATACCGGACGGTAGTCCGTCCGTAACGATGTGATCGCCCGCTATCTCAAGATCTCAACGGTGGAACAATTCGTCGTCCGGTTGACATGCGCAATGTTCTCGCGCGCGGACAGCGGGCACAAAGTGCACTTGCGAGACCTTGCCTCTCTCTACGCGCGCTCACCGGACGCAATTCGCGCGCTCCCGCACCATTAACTCTCCACCTGGTAATCACATCATTTCCGTGACGTGGCGGCGTCAAGTTGGGCGTGGTGAGCAACAGCTGAATCTCCGTCACACAATACCCTCAAATATTACTTTGCGGCGCAGAAGAATGACGCTGGGGTGGTGGCACTTCTCTTTTCCCCAGCAGAATGCTCGGGAAAAGAGCTCAAGCTCGAGGCCCGAACCCAACGGTCCGCAAGTACCAACGGAAGACTAGACCACAGGTTACATTTTTTCATTCTTTACAGTTAGTCCAATAGAAATTTCATTAAAATTTATTGAATAGGTTCTAAAACGATATAATTGGAAAAAATAAGCTGTAAAAGAAATGTACCTACTATATTATTCTGAGGAATAAACGTAATTACAGTGAACAAAATATAATGTTTTCTAAAACTGTGTCATGAATATTGTCCGATTCAACATTCTATAAGTACTTATTAATCGTATCTTATCAACTCAACGTTATCATTGGGCGTGGGTATACAAATTGCACGTATTTCTTTAGTCTTTATTCTTCCTTTTAAAAAAGTATTTAATATTAGTGAAAAATGAGGAATTCAATGCAATTTTATTATGCGACGGACACTAATATAGTTTAAGTTAAGCCGTAAACGTAGCAATGTAGTTGTGAAGTGACTGTTTAAATAATGTAGATTAGACTATATATTTTTTGGTAATGATTGTTGTATAGTAAATATAACATGGTAGCATGTGAAATAGACGGAGATGTGTCAGGGGAAGTGCTCGGGTGGAAATTACCAGCATGGCAGGCTCTCTTGTTGCATCGAGTGGTGCCATCATGCGGTGGACTCATTTTGTACCTCACTTTGATTTGCTTCGACTTTGCTCTTGTTTATGAACATTTTATGCATGGAGAAAAGGGGTACGTTTAAAAAAAAAACATTATTTTTAATGCAACATATATTGTTCTTGTGTATATAAATTAATTAATGACATTATCGTTAGGGACTATGTTATTTAGTTTTTATTATAAAAAAATACTTAGAGAATGTGTTAGTGACATGGTCAATTGGTACTTTTATTTCCACAGGAAAGGTATCCCTTTCATAGTTTGTCACTCTTGAGGACAAGAACTAGAATACCTATATGCATCTATACATATAAATAAAATTAGAGTGTCTGTTTGTAATATTGAAATAACCGTTTTTTCTACATGCATATGAATATAAATAAGATACACACACCAAAATAACATTTTTAAAAATTTTTGCCTGTCTGTCTGTTTCTTCCGGCTAATTTCTGAAATGGCTAAAACAATTTTGACGGGACTTTTTTTGGCAGGTAGCATCAGCTACCTAAGGAGTAATGTAGGCTACTTTTATTTTAGAAAAATAAAGTTAAATTCCACGCGGACGAAGTCGCGGGATTTATGCGGGATTCACGTTATCTATAAAAACTAGAGGAAATCCGGAAACAGCTAATCGAATTTTCTTGTTGCAGAATAGGAATATTTTGTCTAATATTGATTACGCTGCCAGCAATATTGTCGTTCATATTCACACTGGCGTCGCCACCACCGGGTTTGGAAACAGACCTCTCCGCTTACAATGTATCCATGGAGAAAAATGACATACAATGGGTATTCACACAGATTGCTAACTGTATCTTTTTCCCTATTGCCGCTATTGGAAGGTAAGTTTTGTCCTTATTTATTTTAAGGAAAGTACATTCTACTAATAACAACAAACTGGGTCAATTAACATAGCTTCCCAAATTGTGTCCAATCTAAACAAAGTTACTAAGGGCATGTGTAGGTATATGTGTATATTGCTGTTACCTACTACTTTATTCAAAATAATTGGAATGGTAAATAAGCTGACGGTCCTATCATATTCATATATACAAAACATGTACCTATGTGTCGTTCGAGAATCGAACCCGCCGCCATCGGAAGTAAGACGATGTGCCATTACTAGATAACAATATTTACAGACTGATATTGTTATCTACGGACATATGCATATTATAATAATAGTACAAAATAGGTCTTTTGTTTTTTGTCAGATTTATTTACGAAAGTAGATTATATGCCTATTAATCGGAAATAAAATAATTTATATATGTACATTTAAAGAAATCGAAAAATGTTATTATTAGAGAGAAGATTTTAAATCTTAATAAATCATTTAAAATTCACAAACATTGACTTATAATCCGCAATGATTGGCCATTTCATTTTATCACTATACATTCATTTTCAATGAACAAAGAATAAGTGAATAAAGTTATAGACGTATGTAATATAAGTATGTATGTAATGATAAAAAAATTTGATATTTTATTCTGCTCCAATTGCCGTCAATTTTTTATGTAATTGTTATGGGAAATAAGTTGACGGCGTATTTAATGGTGACTGGTAACCATCCTTAGATATTGGAAAACAATATTTAATCATATTTTTTTTCGACAAAACCAGAAAATTCATAGCGTCTCATAATTCGCACCATTTTGAATTAAGTTGTATTACAGATATTGTTACCAAATATTTTGGTGGGTGGAAGTGGTCTTCGCATCTCGCTGTGATGATGAAGAACGTATTCAAGAGGCACTGGCGTACGCCCGAACACCATCTCCAATGGAACTGTACTTGTTTTTGCAATCGTTCTTACATTCAGCGCCGCATGCCATAGTTAATATTCTGGAAATGATGGCACGTTATAACGACCCTGCCTACAGCAAAAGTAAGTTGAGTTGTTTTTATGGGATATGGCAAATGGGCTGACGGTATACTCGATGGTACCAATGTCTTTATACATCTACGGCCACACACCATCAAGTGACGTCAAGTCAACTCAAATTTTTAAACATTGTTTAGGATAAAAAACTTTAAAAAATTGAATACACCTCAATCTGGTACAATATTGTAAGTTTATGTATGTCGGAACAATATATATTTATTTTTTTGTAATTGTGAGGTCTTCACAGATATCCACGAATGGATAACAAAATAATTAAATTCTCAGACAACAGCAGCAGTAATGCAAATGTAAACGTTGTATGATGTACAATGCGAAACAATGTAGAAATAAAGGCTAAGTTTGAGATATTTATTTTTATTTTTATCTTCAGGAACAGTACAGTTCGTGAGCATCATTGCATCTTCGTTGCGAATGGCCAGTACCGCAACTGTGTACAGAAGATTTGAAAGAGAAAAAATTAACGGACGGATGTATCCATGGAGTAAAACTAAAGAACAGATTGAAAATACAAATAACGAAAACATCGAAGCTGTTAATACCAACGTAGAAGTGGAACAAGAGCATGAAGAAGAATCTATTTATGAGGAAATTAAAGAGAGAAGTCAACACGAATCGGGAAGATCAAAGCTTAACAGTGATTTGATACAGTTTTCTCCAAGATCTACAATGTATTATGATAACATAGAAACTGATTCGGAAACCGATTCTGACTATCGAGGTGGTACAATGCGTGATGGTTTGTCATCCCATGAATTGGAGAGCGATGACGAGTATGTACGGCCAATATCGATCGTCGATCGAGTGGCACCTCGCAGACGTGATACAAGTTTTACAATACAAGAAGTGTATGTCCCCCCACCGCCTGAATCGCCAGCACCACGACCCATATCAATAGCAGCATGGGCAGAGAAAATTGTAGAAAATGCGGAGTCTATACCAACGTGGTTATCTGCACCTCCGAGGAGAAAATATTGTGATGAAGTGGTTCGAGATGAGCCGGATATACCAATACGAGTACCTCGATCATATATTCGGGGTCTTGAACCTCAGGATCTTACAGCGGCATTAGTACACTGCATGGGTTGGTATACATTCTTCATTGCGCGCCTTCTGTCTATGGCTGCTTTTATAAACTTAACTATTGTTGGTTCTGTTATAGTGTTGTTCTCGCATTATCAAGTGATGCTTTTGTTTTTAATAATACCACAAGCAAGTACTGTGAAAAGAGGCTTTTATTTATTTCTTGCGTTTGTGTACTTATTCTGTATAATGGAATTTAAGATACGTTTCCGTCATGTTCGTGTGTGGCATATGTTTTGGAGCATAGTGTGTATGGTAGAGACAATACTTTTTACCGGATTGTGGATAGGCTTAGATAATAATTTACATTATTGGTGGAAACAATATGTACTGTATGTGATTGTAGTTAGTTTAAGTTTAAGTGTTTTGTGTTTTGTAACATATTTCGTGATTTTACAACCAAAAGAGACTATTGTACATATCAAACACAGAAATAGAAATAAAATTACAAAATAACAACTAACTAGATTTTATATAAGTACAAGTGAATTAGAAAATTACAGTATATTATATATCATTACATACACCGCATCTGGAGTACTACGACTTTGTATACCGTTGACAGATCTGGTTGGTTTAAATAAGGTACCAATGTAAAAATACCAATCCATGCTGACCAACTAAAAATACAGAGATTCAATTTTGCATTGAATTTAGAGTAAAAATTTTTAAAATTAGAAAACTTTAAAATTCCGTATGGTGGCATAACACAAATACTAATAGCCAAATTGCTTTGTGTTATGTACATCAAAGAAAACGCCACACTGGGCAGTGATTGAAGCATCCCTGTTGGTCGCTAGCGCAGCTGTACAATTTTTAAACAGACTTGTTTGTATAGATCTTTACTTCCGTAGCATGTCTACTTTAAGCAATCCAATCATATATTATGATAAGTGATCCATCCTATCACATACATAGAAGTAATATGTCGTACTAGGTATATTATATCATAGTAGAGATACATATATTAAGTAAGTACCTTTTTATACGTTTTATTATATAAATTTGATATTTATTTATTTGTTTTTAAAATTAGATGAAGGTTATCAATAAATTTAATTTTATATATTTGATATTCTATTAATTGTTATTCAATGGCTATACTAATTTATAAAACGTTATCTATAGTTAAAACTAAAACCGTGTTATCTAATTCTTTAACAAAAAAAATATAATTAATTTCACATCTCAATTTTAAAGCTGCTAAATGGTTACAAAGACAACGTTGCAAAAAACTGTAAAATTAAAAAATAAATAACATATGAATAAATAAATTAAATGAGAAACTCTGATACTTTCAGTGAGTATTATAAGTGTTGCTGAAGTTCATGACCGGTTTTAAGAATGCCTGTGGTTATTGAAGCACTCATCGCTGGGTCAGCAGCCTTGCGCGCCCATATGAGGAGCATTGTATCAAAATATATGCATTATACAGTACGTCATTGATACCCGATACTTACCATGGATTTGTGAATACAGCTGGATCTGCAGTTTGTATACTAATATACTTGTTTATAATATTATATGTATGTTTATAATATTTATAATATTATTATGTTAATAAGTTTTGTATGCAAGCGGCAAAATAATGTGACAAAACAAATAAATAACTCAAAATCTAGTCCAAAACCAATTAGTGAGTACCTACAATATCATTAATAATAAAAAAATAATACTTAAATGTAAGCGAAAATTATATTATACCCTTTGTACGCTGCTGCTAATAGGAGAAATTTAATGTATTAGTACATAGTAATTAAGAATAATTCACCCCGCTCATACATTTCCAAAGAGAGCCGGCACGAGTCGTCAGACTCTTATCGGAAATATGTAACCGGAATTATTTTCTCTGATATGAACCATGTTATCTAGATTAAAATAATGATTTATCAAATTTAACCTCTGTTTAATAAGAACAATCTAAATATAACTATTTAAAAATAAAACAAAGTAGGGAAATATTGTTAATATATTCTTTATTCTTTATTGTACACACACACACAGTAAATGAAATTATATATAATAAATGTAATGTACAAGGGCGAGCTTATCTCTAAAAAGAGATTTCGTCCACCAAACCTAGATAATGTTATAGGATAGTGTATTAAATAGAATAGTCATACATACGTGTACGAAAAGAGGAGATATTAAAATATTGTTCTAATGAACTATAAGTATCAGTAGACATACATAAATATATAAATATATAGACATACATAAAGGGTACATAAATAAATAAAGTTAAAATGTAATTATAATATATACCTACATAAATATAAAAATACGTCAGCATTGTGAAAGATAATATGTTTTTAATCGGCTTTTGAATATTTCAATACAAGAACTGGCACGTATTTCGTGAGGTAAAGAGTTCCACAATCGTATAGCCGTCACCACAAAATACGGACTCCAGTACACTCTCTTGTGTACTGGAGTCCGTAAGAGTAATTTATTTTGAGATCGAGTGTTCATTTCTGTCGGATAGCTAAATATTAATCAATTTAAAAATATGACTGTTAAACAAAACAGTGGTTTGTGGTACATATTATCTTCGTACATTAAGTGGAGAGGTATACATTCGCATTACGTGGAGGATGCGGTGATGTGGCTATAGGAAGCTGCGCATGCGCCTCGCCGCGGCCCTCTTCATTATTTTTTGCTAATTTACCATACTTACACGTCGAGTGCACTCCGGAGATGAATATAGCAGAGGTAATTACCCCGTCATTAGCGAGAAAAGAGTATTATTTTGTTACTTTGATACACACGAGGTAAGTCTTCTCGATGTTATTTTTCCAGTATCATCAGTTCTTACTGAGAAGTGAAAGTTAATAACATTGTTTCTGTAATATAGGTACAGATAAATATAATTTAAACTAATAAATAGGTATCAGAAATTCAGGTAACGTTCATACAATATCCATTCTAATATTATGCGATATTTACATACATTTAGAAATCAGTCTGCCTGTTTGTTACTTTTCATGACTAACGGACTAAGCGGTTTTTGATGAATTTTGATATGAAGATATACATTTATCTCAAAACAATATCTGGAAGGTAATTGTAAATATCTAATAAGTGTAGGTGTACTCGTGTATGTATTCTATATGTAAAATATCACAGGTATCATAGTTTTATTAAAATTATATTGTTTCCCATTATTTTTTTTATGGAATGGCAAACAAGCTGGCGGCCCACGTAGGTACCGTCACGTATAGACGGATATCATGTTATCATGTGATTTACAACTTATGAGGACTAAGAGGACTAAGATGTCATGCCTATAATTTCACGGCCTAATCTAATATCAAAACACAGCTTACTAAGCAAGCCGTTTTACGGTTGAAATATGTGAGGTACCCATGTGAGCGATTTTTTATAGTCTACGTCTCTTAATATTATAAACACGAACATATATCTGTGTCTTTATCCCTTTTCACGACTGAACGAATCTAAATGTTTTATATATCCCTTCCTAATTCTATTTTAATAGGTTATATTAGACAAGTTAAGTATTTAGGTAAGTAGCCTATCTGTGTAGTACACGAAAGAATCCAAAATAAATTTTAACACAAATTGGGTGAAATGTGGGCGAATGTTACATTCACTCCGACTACAAGAAACGATAAAAATTACTTTCCCTAACTGTGGATAAAGTCTGTAACTGTCATAGATTTTAATTTTAACATAAATTACTTATATACAATTTACATTAAGTGTTTTTAGTAACTTGTTTGTTGCATTTCTCTATACTGGCTATGGTACACGGATCACATTTACAATGTTAATAAAAGTAAATAGGATAAATAGGATAGATACATATAAAAGGATAAATATATGAAAAAAAAAAATATATATATATATATATATATAATAAATTCACTTTACGTTTTAGTATTTAACAGCACATAGGTAGGAATTTCAATAAATAAGTGTTTTCATACTTATATGTATACTGAAACTAAAATAAAATAAATCGACTCTGAGCGACTTAATAGTTAAAATTGATTAATAGTTAAATTTTTATATAAAATTTTTAATTAAAAGAGGTTGTTTAATCAAAATTTTTTTTATGGATGTCTAATTACAGATACTTATGATAAGTCAAATCTACTACAGTTCGAAATGTAAGAGCTAACAAGACACTCCAATTACCTTTTAAATCTTTAAGTAAGATTGTATATAATAGTTACATCAATTCATAATAAACAATTAAATTAAAACTCAGTTTAAGGTGAATACAGTAACTTCATGAATAATGAGGTTTATTATGATATCCATATTAGAACAAAGACCACTTACTCCTAAAAGTATCTACAGATTATGCCAGAAGGTTGAGTCAAAGCCATCGACAGTCAGATGCTCGTAATCTGACACCTCTTGTATTCAAGCTTCGCTACTAATTTGCGACCCCACATTACAGGGTTGCTATTAGAATTTTAATCGAAGACATTTCTACAGATATTATTTTTATACATACATATATGTAGGAATAGGTAATACTCTGCTGTAATCTTAAATAACTTATAATTACTGTGTCAATTATTTTTATTTTAGAGTATACAAATATCTAATCCAGCAAATATCAATACCACAATTGGTTTCAATTTAAATCCGAACTAACGTAAATTACCCCAACAAGTCATAATAGATTTTAAACTTAATACAAGCGACATTTAGGAAACCTTTCTTATTAAATGTATATTCTAGAATACAATTAATAGGTAGGATGGAAATTGAAATATCAGATTTGACAGATATATATTTATATAGAGGCGACAATGATGTTAGGCGTCGATAGCCCTGGTTGCGGTTGTGGCTGAGGTTACGAGTAGAGGCGAAACAAGACAACAACTTCGTTGTGCATTCACGACGATAAATCGAAATCCGCGACGACAGCACCGCTGTCCGATGAGATAGACATCGAGATTTCTCGACTTATGATTATGATCGCATTCCATAGGGAAATTACTCAGTGGTAAAGTTGCCCATATAAACTATGTATTATACTACGCAGGCGATAGAGATGATGCGGGAAAATATATTATCAAAAGATATCTCAAATATATTGATTTTAATTGTATATTTAAGAACGGTTTTATTTTCCTTGCAACGTAAAATCTCACAGATGTTAGTTAGGTAAAAGCCTTTCTAAATTACTCTTCATTTTGTATAAAAAGGAACAGTTTATTTCTGATAAAAAACAAACATTGCAGTTTTATAGGACAGGGAGTAACATATCTAAATAGACGACTACGTATACAAAATGGCAGTCAATAATAAAGCTAATTAGTTTACATTGCTCCAATAATTAAGACGAAGAATCGAATAGACTATTCCATTTTGTGTAGCATCTGCTCGAAATTTCTTCAGCTCTCCAGCAACAATTATTCTGTTTATAAACACACGGTAACTTATAATTACATCATTATTGTGTACATATTAGTTATAGATGTGTATATGTAATTAACAGTTACAATGATAACGTCTTATGGACAATGTTTACGTGCATAAAGTTCAAGAATGTTTAATGGTTGCACATGAACAATGCTTGGTGCTTGCCGGTGATAACTCGTATCTTGGGGCAAACGTGTCCTCGATGTGTGGTGAACGCATCCATTTCTCCGCAAGACTTCTACAACGTGATAACGTAATGACTTTTAAGATTGACTCACGCTATTACAAACTCATGTAAATAGGTACGCACGCAGACAAACACAAGGCGAATAAGTTCTATGAACTGTTGACAGCCAGATACTATATATATGTCAGAACTTATCATTATATCGTACTGGTATTTTGTAACGGCGTATGTTTTCCGGAGATGTTTGCTAGATGCTATTGTTTAATTATTCTACGTTGATTTAGATTATAACTGTTAAAATTGTATTTATTTTGATGGAAGATAATGGAATGGTGCATCCACTTGCCATAACTGAGGATGTTAAGATGAGCATGAGGTCAAGTGATACGAGGGTCAAACTGAAAGTTCTTAGAAAATCAAAAACTGATTAAATTAGCAAGTTATTACCTTTATTTTATCTTTTCAAAATAGTGTCCATTCACGTCAAT